CTTCTCCTCCTCCCCGCAAACCCCACTCCCTTCTAGCACTGATGATGTTACCTAGTTGGGTCATGAAAGGTCTGCAAGTAAACAACGAAGTTCAGAGAGCACCAAGGACCCCACAATCCTCCTCCTTCTCCTCCTCCATGAATCCCACTCCCTTTCTAACACTGATGGCATTACCCAGCTGGGTAATGAAAGGTCTGCAAGAAAACAACCAAACTCAGCACTAAGGATCCCTCCTTCTTCTCCTTCTCCTCCTTCTCCTCTTCCTCCCTGCAAACTCCACTCCCTTCCAGCACCAATGAAGTTATCTAGTTGGGTAATGAAATGTCTCCAAGGAAACAACTAAGTTCAGAGACCATCCAGGACCCCACAGTTCTCTTCCTCCTCCTCCTCCTCCTCCTCCTCCTCCTCCTCCTCCTCCTCCTCCTCCTCCTCCTCCTCCTCCTCCTCCTCCTCTTCCTCCTCTTCTTCTTCTTCCTCCTCCTCCTCTTCTTCCTCCTCCTCCCCACAAACCCACTCCCTTCCAGCACCAGTGAGGTTACCCAGTTCGGTACTGAAACGTCTGCAAGAAAACAAGCAAGCTCAGAGAGCAACAAGGACCCTTCATTTCAACCCTGAACTACCAATATTTCCCCATATTTCTCCATTTTCTTTTTCCTTTTCTGCTATTCCAAACTCTGACCCCAGAAAGATGCCACCTTTTTTTTTTTTTAGAAAAAAGGTTGAAAAGGGGCCATCGGGCGATGCTTATCAAAGGCTGATCCTCCCGGATGCCTCCATTAAAATCCTATTTTTATGTCAGGGACGAACAGGGGAATGAAACTGCTGATTGAGGTAGACCAACATCGCAGAGTTAAGGATGGCAAGCAGTGGTTACAGTTGCATAAAACTGGGAAGCAGAAGGACCACCTTAACGCCGAGGTTCCTCTGAGGGGTGCAGGAAGACCCTGCAAAATTCCTAGCCCCCACAGAAGAGGCAGGAAGAGAGTCGGAGTGAGGATAGCCAAAGGGAAAAAAAGAGGACTCCAGACTTCTAATTTTCCCCAGTTGGATCATTAGGGTGCCAAGCGTGGCCAACACAAACACCACCTCTGGCCCAATGGGCAGAGTTTGGAAAGAGGCTTCTGTCAACAGAGAAAAATGTCCCTATTGATTGGCGGTAAAAGCCCTTGAATGCCAAGAAAGATGAGAAGGTGAACTTCAAACTCAAGGAAACGCTAATTTTGTTTGCTTTGTGCCTGAAGAAAAAAAGAAACTAGCAATCTGCAGGATGCTGGCTTCATTTAAAGAGCTATTCCACCACGTAGGAAGCAGGCAGATATTTAGCAAATATCCTAAAAAAAATTGGAATGAATAGAATAGAATATTAGAACAGGGAATAGACTAGACTAGACTAGACTAGACTAGACTAGACTAGACTAGACTAGACTAGACTAGAGTAGAGTAGAGTAGAGTAGAGTAGAGTAGAGTAGAATAGAATTAAAGTAGGATAGGGTAGAACAGAATTAGAATAGAATTAGAATAGAATATGGAATGGAATAGAATAGAATAGAATAGAATAGAATAAAATAGAATAGAATAGAATAGAATGGAATATGGAATATGGAGAATAGAATAGAATATGGAATAGAATATAGAATAGAATATGGAATAGAATAGAATAGAATATAGAATGGAATGGAATATGGAATAGAATAGAATAGGGAATAAGAGTAGAGTAGAGTAGAGTAGAGTAGAATAGAGTAGAGTAGAGTAGAGTAGAGTAGAAAAGAATAGAAAATAGAGTTGGAAGGGGCCTGGGAGGTCTTCTAGCCCAACCCCCTGCTTTTTAAAATTCATACCGATTCTCACTTCTGTCAATTCTTTAACTAAAAGAAGAACCGCGTCATAGCTTTTAATTCACTGGGAATTAACCTCATGACACGAACACAAAAGCACGCAACTACAGGGTGGGAAATATGGTTTAGCCTCCACTGGTGTGAATTTGTCGGGGTTGTTTCCCCCCCCCCCCCACACACACTCCGATCTCCACCTCCCCAAACGCCTAAGCACTGCAAGAAAGAGATCTCTGCCAATGCCATAAGCTCCCAAAATCTGGACAGAAGCAAAAGTCTTCCATCTGGAGGGGAGCGGAAATTTTTTAGCTTTTCTTTTTAAAAAAAAAGAAAAGAAAAGAAAAAAATTTCTGCTGCCGAGGCCGGTATTTGAGGAGTGGGATTTATGAAATGGGTGGGTGCCTGGGTATGTTGTTGGGGTTTGTTTTTTTTTTTACTGGAAATGTGGAAGAGGAGGGGAGGAAAGAGAAAACACACAAACGCCCCACGCCACTTCCCCTTCCTTGCGGTGGGAAACAAAGGTTCCTTTCTCTGGGGTCCTTCCTGCTCTACCAGCACTGGGGTCTCTGCGCTGCGATTTATCATTTCGACTGGCAAGTAGCAGTTTTCTTTCGGCGGCTTCTCCCCACCGAAGGGAGGCTGAAGACATGTACAGCTGGCTCCCCCCAGCAGACTCCCCTCGCCCCCAGGATTAAAGGGAGCCCCAGTCCCCCACCCACCCCACCCACCCTTCCCTTCTTTCTCCCGATCCCCACAGCTGGAACTGGTTAAAACGGCTTATGCTACTCAGCTGAAGTCATTCCAGGCACCTTTGAGCAACTGCAGTCAAGGATGGGGGGGGGAGGTTGGGCCACCTCTGGAATCCAGATGCCGAGGCCAATCTGAAATCTAAAACGCATGTTTGCTTTTGGGCTGGCACGGTGGTGGAGGAGGAGGAGGAGGAGGAGGAGGAGGAGGAGGAGAAGAAGACAAAGAGAAGAGGAGGAGGAGGAGAAAGAAGAGGAGGAAGGAAGAGGAAGAGGATGAGAAAGAAGAGGAAGAGGAGACGAGAAGGAGGAGAAGGAGGAAGAGAAGAGAAGGAGGAGAAAGCGGAGGAGGAGGAGAAAGACAAGAAGAGGAGGATAAAGAGAAGAGGAGGAAGAGAAGGAGAAAGAAGAGGAGAAAGGGAGGAGGAGGAAGAAGAAGAGAAGAGGTAAAGGAGGAGGAGGAGGAAGAGAAGAAGAAGAGGGAAAAGAGAAAAGGGGAGGAGGAGAAGAGGAGGAAGAGGAGAAAGAGGGAGGAGAAAGAGGATGAGAAAGAAGAGGAAGAGAAGAGAAGGAGGAGAAGGAGGAAGAGAAGAGGAGGAGGAGAAGGAGAAGGAGGAAGAGAAGAGGAGGAGGAGAAAGCGGAAGAGGAGGAGAAGAAAGAGAAGAAGAAGAGGACAAAGAGGAGAAAGAGAAGGAGAAAGAAGAGGAGGAGAAAAGGAGGAGGAAGAAGAAAAGGAAAAGGAGGAGGAGGAGGAAGAGGAGGAGGAAGAGAAGAAGAAAGGGAAAAGAGAAAAGGGGGAGGAGGAGGAGAAGAAGAGGAGAAGGAGGAGGAGAAGGAGGAAGAAGAGGAGGAGGAAAAAGAGGAGAAGGAGGAGGAGAAGAAAGAAGAAGAAGAGGATAAATAGGAGGACAAAGAGAAGAGAAGGAGGAGAAAGAAGAGGAGGAGGAGTAGAGGAAGAGGAGGAGGAAGAGAAGAGGAGAAAGAAGAAGAGGAGGAGGAGGAAGAGAAAGAAGAGGAGGAGAAGGAGGAGGAGAAAGAAGAGGAGGAGAAGGAAGAGAAAGGGGTGGGGAAGAAGTGCCGGGCCAGGAAATTTTTGCGGGCAATGACAGATATGCAACTTTAGTCAAGGTGGGGTGGAGAACAATGAAGAATAATATGGCAGCCCCGAGTGACCACCTCAAGTTTGTGAGGGAGTTATTTTATCTTGGGAATTGTCTCTTGCAGATGAGTCCCCTTCCAAGATTTTGGATGGCCTTCAAAAGTCTCCAAGAGGAGGAACATCTGGAAATCTTAAACCGGAAAACCCCGTTGGAACGCTAAAGAGCTCTTAAGCTCAAAACCAAACCATCATGTGCAAACAGACTCAAGGACTTGGTGGGGCCTTTTCCCACTGGTGTGTTCCAGACGATTTTGGCGTCCAACTTGCAAAATAATTCAGCTCCAAATTATAACTACATAACTCAGAGGCTGGGAGTAATATTTTCCAAATCAACAGAGTGGAAAAATCCATAAAATCTACCCATGATTGCAGTTTTCCCTCAAACTTGGAGACTTTAAGATTTCTGAACTTCAACTCCCAGAATTCTGCTGGCTGGGAAATTCTAGAATTTTAAGTCCACCTGTCTGGAAGTGGCCAAGATTGAGAAACATTGGGATAACCTGAACACCTATCCATTAAATACTTTGAAACTGTCCACGTCACTCTCCAGTTAGTACCTTTATTTATTGACTTGACCACTCAACTGTTCCATTCTCAAAAGATTTTCTCAGATTTCCTTTCTAGGACAAATCCTTTACCATCCTTTGAGTTGACTTCAAATTGTTGTCGCTGCCATTTGCCATGAATAGAATGGAGTAGAGTAGAGTAGAGTAGAGTAGAGTAAAGTAGAGTAGAGTAGAGTAGAGTAGAGTAGAGTAGAGTAGAGTAGAGTAGAGTAGAGTAGAGTAGAGTAGAAAACAGTTGGAAGAGACCTTGGAGGTCATCTGGTCCAACCCCCTGCTCAGGCAGGAAACCCTATACCATTTCACACAAATGGCTGTCCAGTCTCTTCTTAAAAGCTTCCAGTGTTGGAGCATTCACAACTTCTGGAGGCAGGTTGTTCCACTGGTTAATTGTTCTCACTGCCAGGAAATTTCTCCCTAGTTCTAGGTTGAGTTTCCATCCATTGCTTCTTGTCCTGCTTTCAGGGACTTTGGAGAATAGCTTGGCTGGCTAAGGACTTCTGGAAGCTGAAGTCCACAAGCCTTAAAGTTGCCAAGGCTGGAGATCGTTGCTCTAAAGGATTAGAAGATGAGATATCCCGGTTGTGTGATCTGATAGGTTCTGTGGACAACTATGGACTCCAAGAACTCATTTCAGCGGGTTTAGAATTTCTTTTCATTTAGGGCGGAGAAACGGAGAAGATAAACTCACATCCTTACCTCATCGTCTTTATACCACGAGAGATTCTCTGCAGTCAGGACAAACCAGTATTCTTTTGAGCCGCCCTTCATGATGCCGATATTGTTGATCGTGAGCCAACCCTTGCGGATCACCTGGGTCACCAAAATACCTCAGAGTCATGAATGTTGATCAAGGGACCAGACTGCCCAAACACAACTGCACCACACCACACACAAGAAGCGGCAGGATTGGCTGAGTAGCCGTTCCACGGAGCATAAACTCAAGGCAAGGATCTGAGATTAGCAATGTGAAGTCTTGGGGAGGGGAGGGAAATGTGGAAAAGCTTTAGGGAAATAACATCTTTTTTTGTTTTTTTGCCCCTGGCCGTTTCACCATCCCCTAGGTCTAAAAAAGGGAATCTCTTTGCAAAATTACGCACTGCATGCAGCCACATTTGCGTGGGTCGGGATTATTAATTAAGCAGGGAAAGGAAGAGATGAGAAACAAAGGAGGTTAATAAGCACTTAACAACTAAGCAAGAACAGTGTTGGGAAACAAAGAGAAACTGGAGTCCCTCTATCGTGTGTTTGTGCTGGGTGGACCCGTCAAGCATCCTCACCGCTTTGCCCTTGAGATGTTAAAACCATGAACCTCAGATTAGGACCTTTGAAAATCATATTCTCCACCTCTCTAAAGAACAGCCAGTTGGCTTCACCACTTTCCACCACTTCCGCACATCCCTGGAACAGGGTCCAATTCAAGAGGGCACCATGTTCCTAAGATGGTGGCCTTCAAAAGTTCAAGAACTAGACGCTCCAGAAAAGATAGTTAGGGGCCACGCTCACTGGAGAGTGTGACAATTGTCCACTGCATCTCCAGAGCAACAGGTTGAAGGACTCAACTGAAGAGTTCCATCTCCAGCTACTAGAAATTCATATTTACTGAACTAGGTGCTGCAGGATGGTCCCATTGACATATAAATCTTTGTTCGACAACTAGGAGCTCCAGAAAAGATAGTTATGGACCACGTTCATCGGAGAGTGTGACAACTGTCCACTGCATCTCCAGAGCATCAGGTTGAAGAACTCTACTGAAGAGTTCCATCTCCAGCTACTAGAAATTCATATTTACTGAACTAGGTGCTGCAGGATGGTCCCATTGACATATAAATCTTTGTTCGACAACTAGGAGCTCCAGAAAAGATAGTTATGGACCACACTCACCGGAGAGTGTGATAATTGTCCACTGTATCTCCAAAGCATCAGATTGAAGAACTCTACTGAAGAGTTCCATCTCCAGCTACTAGAAGTTCATATTTCCTGAACTGGGTGCTGAATGATGGTCCCATCGACATGCAAATCTTTGCATCTGTTCATATCAGGACGCAACTGTGTTGGGATGCCAGCACACACATGACATTGTTTTTGGAAATGTGTTCCCTTGCTTTCCATGTCTATCATCCTAAATTCTGGTCAACGGTTGTCCGTTGTCCTTTTCCCCTCTCTGTTGGGCCCTTAACACTTCTCTCCAGCTTGGAATCTGCCTGTTGAGTTTCAGACGTGTTTACAAACACTTGTCTGTATGTCCTGCTCTTTCAAGGAGCATCTTCCAGATGGGAAATGACAGGAGCTGTAGTAACCCCATCCCCGAAGTACCAGCTAACGCGGATGGAAGAATTTGCAGCATGAAATCTGGAATTTTAAACTCTGTTTCTACAATTTCCTCCCCGTTTCTCCGCTTGCCGTCTCTCTCTCTCTGTGTCCAAATGGATAAGCCCTTGCCCAATTAGAATATTTTCTCTTCCTTACTTCTCTTTTTCAAGAAACCCAGGTCAAATTTGACGTCTTTCTCCCTGTTTGGCCTGGAGAGCCCTCGTCCTTCCCAGAGGTCTTAAAATTAGTATTTTTTCAGACATGCCACAAACAATGAGTGGCTATTTATTCCCCCCCCCCACCTCTTACTCACCAGGATTTCATCCTGAAAAAACAGAGCAGCACCAGCAGAGACAACAGGAGCAAAGAAAAGAAAAATTATTACTCAAAAAACAAAAGAAAAAGCAAGTGGAGGAAGAAGAAGCAGCTGTGTGCACCAAAAGTATTTGTGCGTGTGTATACACAGAGAGAGAGAGACACACACACACAAATACACACATATACCTATAGCCTTCCCAGTCTGATTCCCCCAAATGCAGACGCCACAATTTGCAGACTTCCACGCCTATGGAGGACCATGGGAACTGTAGTCTCAGGTCATTCGGAGGATACTAACTTAGGGAAGACTGGTAGACAATAACACCCCCCCCCAAAAAAACCCAAATATTTACAACTGCAGATGTTTGCTCAAACTAAAGCCCAAATAGCCTGGAACACTAAAAATCTCACACCGCAAAAGAAAAACTGCTTAAGTAAAAAGAAGAAAGGGGGGGGGGGAAATTAAGCATAGGCTGTCTTGGAGAACCCCTAAATTGAGATTGTGGACCACTCAGCTTTGGGGGCTTCAGCATTTCCCAACTCAACTGAGTCGGTTTAGGAGTTGGGGGGTCCAACACTGATGGAGAAGGAAGGAAAAAGCTGATTTAAAAGGACATCTTTCCCAAGACGTGTTGACGAGAAATAAAAGAAATCTCGAAGTTTGAAAAGACTTGTTTTGACTTACTAACTAGTTACTAGAGGGTTCAGGAAATATCTGCTAGGAGGTGACTTACAATTTATAATTTTAAAGGATGGAGACCAAGTCAAACCCTGATTCAAAAGCGGCTTTCAGACATCAGATGGCCGGGATAATTTCAACCAAAGCAACGCTTAGCCTAGCCCACCTAAACGAGGTAGTCCTCGGCTTACGACCACAATGGAGCCCACTGTTGCTAAGTGAGACATTTGCTCAGCACGTTTTGCCCGCTTCACGACCTTCCCTGCCACCGTTGTTAAGTGGATCACGGCAGTTAAATTAGTAGCACGGTCGTTGAATGACGTTGCTCATCAAACGGTCGCAAAAAGGGGATCGCGTGACTCCCCCGCTGTGACCGTCGTAAATATGAACCCGGTTGCCCGAATGTAAATCACCTGACTCTGGGGATGCTGCAAAGGTCGTAAGCGTGAAAAACTGGTCCTGAGTCACTTCCGCCAGTGCCGCCGTCACTAAACGAACTGTCGTAAGTGGAGGATTACCTGTATAGGTAAGCAGCATCTGGGCTGGTAGGGCAGGAGATGAAGCCCAGCCTTGATTTTTAACTGATCAATGCCTGCTAATTTCATTCAGTTCCTCAATTTTCCTCTCCCTTTCCCAAGCTACGGAGTGCGGTTTTTTTGGGGAGAAGGCCATCCAAATTTCTTCCATCTTCACAACACTGCCAACAAACCCCAAATCCAAAATCTACCCATCTGGGGGCTCAAAAATGGGGTGCAAACGGGAGCGGATGGATGGCCAATGGGCAGAAACCGAACGGACCTACGTAGACGACACATCAGCCGACAACCACAATGGACATTAATTAAAGCATCCGCCATAAATCATGCTAAATAAACAGGGAAGGCCACTGACATCCATTCGCGACACGGGAAACCCTCCACCACCAACAACTTTCAATGATTGAAGAGTTTTTACCTGATTCCCAGCTGTTTTTTTCTTATTCATTTGGCTGCTCCTTTGCTGAGCACTGCAAAAGAGAAATTAAATTATTATTATTATTATTGGCCATAATTACACTTCCTTTCTGGGATCTCCCAAGCGAAGATAGACTACGAAATACTCTATAGATAAGGAAAAGCTTTCGTTCCAATATAGTTTCCAAGTTTGCCACGTTAAATTTTCAATCAATCAATCAATCAATCAATCAAAATTCATCAGAATACAGCTGGAAGGGACCTTGAAGGTCTTCTAGTCCAACCCCCTGCTCAAGCAGGAAACCCTATACCATTTCAGACAAATGGCTGTCCAGTCTCTTCTTAAAATCTCCAGTGATGGAGCACCCACAATTGCTGGAGGCCAGCTGTTCCACTGGTTAATTATCCTCATTATTAGGTTTCTCCTTAATTCTAGGTTGCTTCGCTCTTTGATTAGTTTCCAATCCATTGTTTCTCATCCTGCCTTCTGGTGCTTTGGAAAATAGGTTGACCCCCTCCTCTTCTTTGTGGCAGCCCCTCAAATATTGGAATCCTGCTATCATGTCCCCCACTAGTCCTTCTTTTCTCTAGACTGGCCATCCCCAAATCTTGCAGCCGTTCTTTGTATGTTTTAGTCTCCAGGACTTTGATCATCTTAGTTGCTCTTCTCTGCACTTTTTCCGAAGTTTCAAAGCAGGTGGGAAGTGTCTTTGAACGGTCACTAATGAACCTGTTGTAAGTCAAGGACTGCCTGTAATCAGTTGGTTCTCCTGCAACCTTGGGGAGAAGACTCTCAATGGCTCACAGCTCCATGAAAACACAAGAACGCTACAGAAAATATATATGAATATATATCATATATGAAAATGTATTAAAAACCTAACACATTATATATGCCCTCTGGAGAAAACAGGGTTTTCCATTTTTCCAACAAGGCTGATCATAAAATGGAGTTAACCTCTGGGTGAAATTTCTCAAGAGGAACAACTTCAGGACCAAAAAGAATGGGCTGAAGTCATCTCCAAGAAGTATCCCAGAGGTGTTTTTTTTCAGGAGGCAACTGGACTTCTTTGTTTTTCTTTGAAGACGTTTCGCTTCCCCTCCAAGAAGCTGCTTCAGCTCTGCCTGGATGGTGGGGAATGGAAGGATTTATACTCCTCGCAGACAGTTATAAATATTTCCATTCCCCACCATCTGGTCAGAGCTGAAGAAGCTTCTTGGAGGAGAAGTGAAACGTCTTCAAGAAAAGTCCAGATGCCTCCTTTGGGACAACTATGACCTGGAGGACTGAGAGTCTAAGAAGTACGTTTCGACCCAGGAGTCTTACTTGGCAAATCCAATGAAGTCTTCATGGTTGGTGTTCATGTAGGACAACTCAATGTCTATCAGAAGCATGACCTGGGGACGAAAATCGTGCCAAGAGAGAGATGAAACATTTGAGATCCTCCAAAAGGACCTTCATCGACAACTCCATACTAAGCTCGCGGTTACTAAGGCCAGAATATTTCATCAGAGCCTCCCAAAGGGTGGTTCTTCTGCTCCTATAACCCTCATGGAAGGGGATCATGGGAGTTGAAGTCCAGCTTGTCTGGAGACTTCCCTGAGGAGAAAGGATGGGCTTTGTTGGGGGACTCCAAATGAAAAACAGCCCAAGGGATCCCTCTGGAAGGGGGCAGTTGAGTGGCTACAGAAATGGGAAGCTTCTCCAGGTGAGCCATACCTGGTCTTTGGTCTTTCCTTCTCTGTCCCGGATGTGAGTAGTCACGATCCGCTCCATCTCCTCCCGCAGGTGAGGATATTGGCTTAGCTGTACGGGGGGGGGGGGAAGGAGAGGGAAGAATGTCCAGACAGAGAAGAAAGTGGAAAACATACCCCCATGACCCCAGGAACAGGTGTTGGGCAGTGAGAAAGCAAGAGGGAAGACTATGGAAGAAGAGAAAGCTATGAAGATGTTTTTCCAACGTTCAACCAAGCTGGGAAGTTCTTCCTTAAGACCCACCATAAGCCTGCTTTCAACCATGGTGGGTTTTCTTTTCGGTGGAAGACAAATCCATCCATGGTGGCTTGCAAATCATGGCTTAGGGGAGTCAGTATGTGGAGTGAGTTCAGGCCAACTGGGCCTTAACCAATCAACCACGTTTCAAGGAACCATGGCTTGGGATGATGCCAACAGCCATGTCTCCCCCGCCAGGAGGGTGATGTTGAAGATGAGTTATGGAGTACATCCAAACACATTTACATTTTTAAAACATTTTATGGACTTTACGATAGCCACCATTTCAGGAGACTCTGGGTGGGTTTAACAAGGAAACCATCACTAACCACCATTGAACAATGGGTCAGAAGTCTATTTATGATCTTTTGATGCTTGCTGTTGGTTCGGACCAGTGTTTTTCGGCCCCTTGAAGGTGTGTGGACTTCAGCTCCCAGAATTCAGCTGTGTGGAGAATTCTGGGAGCTGAAGTCCATGCATCTTCAAGTAGCCACGGTTGAGATACATTGCTCTGGAGGTCTTCTTCTTTCTTGCTGCAGACAGCAAAAAACCATGCCAGAAATATAGACAAAACCCAGCTTGGAAATTGGAAAACATCTCCTCAATTCTCTTATCCAAAATGGACCCCAGCCCATTCCTCGCCCTGCAGAAAAGATCCTCCCCCCAGTTTAAGCCACACTTTGACCCTCGCCAGTTTGCATATCTCATGCGGGGGGAAAGCATCCAACGTTGTGAGCAAGGGAGGACATGCGCAACAAGGACACCGGTGGGCCACAAGCAACTCACGTCACAGATACATCCTTTTCCCTCCCCCCAAAAGGAACATGCATTGGGGTGCACAGGGGAGGGGGGAGGGGGCTGTAACCTAAGCAGCACCCAGAAAATGCCATCCTTTTCATGAAGAGAGCAGGCAAACTGGAGGAGGGGGCTGGTGGACGCCTTTAAATTCGGGGTGCCATCAGATTCCACCTTCACATATTTCAGCCCGTCCCGTTTCCTGCTCCTGAATCTTTCTAACTATGATCCCTTAGGAAGACAAGGGAGAGGTGCCTCTCCCTGCAAACCATGGCTTGTCAGATCCCCTGATCCATCCCTAACCTACATCTGCAGACAGCTCTTCCCTTGACATTTGTGCACCCAGTCCCCCCGGTTCTTATCCATGGCCACGAGTGAGGGGTATATCCTGAATTGGAATTAGGATTTCATGGTGGGTCAGCAGGATGTTGACAAGCTTTACTCCTCGGCGGAGCACCAGGTCTGACTCACGCACGAAAGAAGCCGTGGAAAAGAGCCCTAGACCAGCTTTGTTGGTTAGTTTGTGGCTTAATGCCCTGTTGCAAACATAGAAAGTGGCTGTCGGGGTCAGGATGCCGGGGAGATGAAATTGGTGAATCCTGGATAGTAAGAGCGAGTCTCCACCAGCATAGATCGTCCTTTGCCCTGTTTCTGCTTCACTGGGTCGGACTACATTTCCCATCACTCTCGACTGCCTCCCAAACCTAACACTGGGGAAAGCTCACTTCCCGAGTGCCTTCATATTTTTCCTTGCTTCGAGAGGGCCAGGATGCTTTCATATTGCAGAATGCAGAACAACAGAGCTGGAAGGGGCCTTGGAGGTCATCTAGTCCAACCCCCTGCTCAGGCAGGAAATCCTACACCATTTCGGACAAATGGCTGTCCAGTCTCTTCTTAAAAACTTCCAGTGTTGGAGCATTTACCGCTTCTGGAGGCAGGCTGTTCCACTGATTAATTGTTCTCACTGTCAGGAAGTTTCTCCTTAGTTCTAGGTTGCTTCTCTCCTTGATGAGTTTCCATCCGTTGCTTCTTGTCCTGCCTTCAGGCGCTTTGGAGAATAGCTTGACTCCCTCTTCTTTGGGGCAGCCCCTGAGATATTGGAAGACTATTATCATGTCACCCCTCGTCCTTCTCTTCCTTAAACTAGACATACCCAATTCCAGCAACCGTTCCTTATATGTTTTAGCCTCCAGTCCCCTAATCATCTTTGTTGCTCTTCTCTGTACTCTTTCTAGAGTCTCAACATCTTTTTTACATCGTGGTGACCAAAACTGGATGCAGGATTCCAAGTGTGGCCTCACCAAAGCGTTATAAAGTGGTATTAACGCTTTGTGTGATCTTGATTCTATCCCTGTATGCTTGATTCTCTGCCTTTCTATATTCTTCCAAGGCCACGTTTGCTTCTTTCTGTTCCACCACCCTTTTTCAGAAAAAAAAAATTCGATTTCTCTTTTAGGCAGATCTGTCATCTCTTTCCCATTCTTTTGCAGCCATTCACCAACACCCACACAGGGTCTCTTGGAAAAACAGATGGATTCATTTCCTGTCTCGTTTAGCAATCCTTAGGAATTATTCTCTCTCTCTCTCTCTCTCTCTCTCTCCTCTGTCAGATGCAGGATTTTTAAAATGGGTTTCCCCCCCCCTACTTTTTTTTTTTTTTTGCAGCTGCTGGGCGGGTTTTTGCCCAAAATGAGTTCACTGTTGAGGAATTTGGGGAGCAGAAATCCATGATTGGAAACAGGAAAATAAAAAACACATCAAAGTGTGGGTTAAACAGCTCAGGTTTTCATTCATTCCCAATGCAGGTATTCCTCGATTAGCAATGGTTCATTTAGCGATGGTTTGAAGTTACAACGGCAGTGGGGAAAAAAAGAGAGAGCTCCCTCTTAATTCATTGCAGCCTTGTTCACACGATCAAAGTTGACTCGGCCTTCCATCCTTCCGAGGTCGGTAAAAAGAGAGCCCAGATTTTGGGGGGGGGCTGACTCTGTAAACTGTTTAGAGAGGGCTGTAAAAGCACTGTGAAGCAGTATATAAGTCTAAGGGCTATTGCTACTGCTGTAGCTGATTGGATGTTGCATTAGGAGCCATGGTGGCGGAGTGGATAGAAGGCAGCATTGCAAGCTAAGCTCTGCCCACAGCCTGGAGTTCGATCCTGACCGGCTCAACGTTGACCCATTCTTCCATCCTTCCGAGATTGGTAAAAGGAGGACCCAGATTGTGTGGGGGGGGGGAAGAGGCTGAGTCTGTAAACCGCTTAGAGAGAGCTGTAAAGCATATATATGTCTAAATTCTATTGCTATGTCTGTCTGTCTGTCTGTCTGTCTATCTATCTATCTATCTATCTATCTATCTATCTATCTATCTATCTATCTATCTATCTCATCTAGCTATCTATCTATCCGTAACGTCTGTCTGTCTGTCTGTCTGTCTCATCTATCTATCTATCTATCTATCTATCTATCTATCTATCTATCTATCTATCTATCTATCTATCTATCTGCCATGATGGTACAGTGGTTAGAATGCAGAATTCCAAGTTAACTCTGCCCACTGCCAGGGGTTCGATCCTGAACAGCTTAAGGTTGACTCAGCCTTTCATCCTTCCAAAGTCAGTAAAATGAAGATCCAGATTGTTGGGGGCAATAGACTCTAGAGAGCTGTAAAGCATATATATATATATATATATATATATATATATATATATATATATATATATATATATATATATATATATATATATATTTTTCTGAGGTTTTCGCGGGTATTTGTATGTAGGTCTTTGGTTGTTCAGGTTTTCTCCCGCGTACCCCCACTGGCAGTTAAAAGGAAGAAACAGCTAAGACCACACATTGCTGCTCAAAGCACGAAGCTGAAAACACCAGCCTGAAGATGACGAATGAGACTTCGTCGAAACGTCGCCAAGACACTTCCAATTTTACGCGGGAGAAAACCCGAACAACCAAAGACCTATATACAAATACCCGCGAAAACCTCAGAAAACATAATATATATATATTCTGATGTATGTAGGTCTTTGGTTATTCGGGTTTTCTCCCGCGTCAAATTGGAAGTGTCTTGGCGATGTTTCGACGAAGTCTCATTCGTCATCTTCAGGCTGGTGTTTTCGGCTTCGTGCTTCTAGAAACAATTGCTCCTAGGAGCAATTTTTTTGAGTCAACGGGGAATCCGCAGGGGAAATTTAAATCCCCTATCTGGCATCTCTTGGGATCCTCTTTGTGGCAACCTCTTCTGCGGAGCTGTTTTGCAGCTGCATTTCAAAACGGGAGCTCTTTTCAAGGCCTTTGGGGTTTCATCCACCTTTGCCAATCCTGACCTCTCTTGTGCCTGTTCTTTGTCGTTGCATCGAAAAATACATCCGTATTTTTTTTCCAAATAAGAATGTTTACTTCCCTTTCTTTTCTCACGCTTGGTTCCACCCAAAAGCCTTCCTTGCCCTGTCTAGATCCAGGCTTGAGCCGTTGTAACTCTCCAAAATGTTTGTCTTCCTTATAGTTGAAAGTCAAAAGCTGAGAATCTGAAGTTTGTCCCAGTGGTTGCTTAGCTGAGTAAATCAAGAGCCACGGTGCCAGATTCAAGAGGCGCGTGGCGCCATCTAACGGTGTCCAGATGCTCTCCAAAATGTTCCACTTGGTGTGGACCCGGAATGGCGTTTTTGGAAAAGGACTGAAACAGTACAATTCCAGACAGAGAAATCGCTGGACGACCGTGGTGCTCTCCTTTTTAAAGCTTTAAAAATAAAAAAATGAATGGGATGCCAAGATGAGGAGAAGAAAGGTTAAGAAATTAGGTTTTAAGAGAAGTAAAATTTCAGCTGGGTGCCAACAGGAAGACATCTGAGCGATGGATTTTGTCGTCCGCGAGCATCAGGGTGAAACCCTGGTTAGATCTAAACTGAAGAATCTTCTTGGATAAGAAGCAAGGTGCCTTTAAGGAAGAGCAAAGAAAGTTCCCAAAGTTCATCTGGGACAGCCATGACCTGGATGAGTGAGAATCTCCATAGTCATTCAAACAAACTTTGCTCCAGATGGCAAGTATGACGTGTTAAGAACATCTCAGATCAGTTTTCTCTTTGAGCGGCCACTACAGGACTTGGAAGCACTCAGAAGAAGGAGAAGATAGACGCCCAACCATCTTCTCCCTTGTCCTTCCGAGCTAGAACATGTCTACTTATGCTCCAACAAGCATCTTAGAGTAGAATAGAACAACAGAGTTGGAAGTGATCTTGGAGGTCTTCTAGGCCAACCCTAGGAAAACCTGCACCACTTCAGACAAATGTTTGTCCAATCTCTTCTTCAAGGCTTCCAGCGTTGGAGCATTCACAACATCTGGAGGCAAGCTGTTCCACTGGCTAATTGTTCTAACTGTTAGGAAATTCCTCCTTAGTTCTAGGTTGCTTCTCTCCTTGATAAACCTCCATCCGTTGCTTCTTCTCCTGCCTTCTGGTGCTTTGGAGAATAGCTTGACTCTTCTTGATATCTTCACCCTATCACCTCTACCGTTCCTCCTATTCTTCCCCCACCATCTCTGCCAATTGTCCTACTCTAATGGAGAGGACTAACCCCATGGAGGTCTCCTCGTTTCTCCCTCCTTTGACTGTCGTCTAACCAAAAAGGCACACCTGGGCACATCTTCTGGGTTCCTCTGGGTGGGTGCCCACCCACGTGCCCGCAAAATGGCATTGGGTTTTTTTTAATCTTTTTTTTTTTTATGGAGGGGTTGGGGAAGGCGTTCTCTCTCCTTTGCAGGATCTTTTACCTTGCTGCTACACTTTCTGATGGTGGACGTGAGCTCACTCGCTACCATGTCCACACACTTCAGAGAGGGCTCCTTCAGTTTTTGCATCTGCTTTTTCACTATGGTTTCAAAAGCCAGGTCAGGCGTGAAGAGGCCCGTTCTGCACGGATGAAAAGGAGCAGGGAAGGTGGGTGGGTGGGTGGGAGAAGAAGCAATGAGGAGGGAAGGAAGGCATGAAGCAGACAGAGGGAGGAGAGAGTCAGAGAGAGAGGGAGAGAAAAGAAGAGAAAAAAACACAAGGTAAACAGAGAGAGAAGTAAGAAATTCTTTTTTTCCCCCCCTTCTTCCTGGATCGCTCGCTCCACGGACAGATGTTCCACCAGTGGTCATCGCTATAGGATTCCATGTGCTGCCAAGCATCTAGTGAATTCTGCAGGTTAGAGAAAGGGTGGGGAACGGCAAGCTAGGGGGGGTGAGTTTTAAAAAAAGGATGAAAGGGAATGCGCAGAGATGGACCTTCCCATTCCTGTCCTCCTTTCCTCGCTCAAACCAAGATTGGGAGCCAGCTTCTTCTCTTAACACGGTTGACCGACTTGCTCACAGCGAGATATGAATGGAGCACGTCAAGGATCTTGAGAACTTGAAGAAAGTAGCTATGAATGTGTTGGCAACACACCTGTTCTCCCTAAGGGACTTTAACTTTGGGAACCGAGTTAAAATTTCCCATCTTCTTTAAATCATTGAGTTACAAAGACACGTCTAGTCCAAGATCTACTAGGTCAATGTTTCTCAACCTTGGTCCCTTTCAAGATGCATGGACTTCAACTCTCCAGCCAGCATGCTAATAATCAGCATTCATTTCTTTTTTCTTTCTTTTCTTCCTTCCTTCCTTCCTTCCTTCCTTCCTTCCTTCCTTCCTTCCTTCCTTCCTTCCTTCCTTCCTTCCTTCCCTTTTTTTGTTCTTCCTTCTCCTGTCCTTCAGAATAGCTTGGCTTAAAAAAAAAAAAAAGACTCTCTTAGAGGTATGGATTTCCTGCTCTTCGGAGGTGGGCGAGGAAGGTGGGAAGAGTAAAAAACAACAACAACAACAACATAACAAAGAAAGGAGGTGGAGGTAAAGAAGGGAAGAAATAAACCCAGAAGCAGAAAAGGGCTTAAAAGGGGGGGGGGAAGTGAAGAATGTGGGAAAAGGAACAGAGAGAAGGAAGAATGGGGAAAGATCGGTCCTTCCAATCCAGTCGTTCAGATGACACTGTATACTTGGCAGCCCAAGGGCTCACGATCACCGGGAGCGAATGGCAAATTTCTGGGTGCTGCTCATAGACACAGGAACCCCCCCCCAAATAAAAACAGCAGGATAGAAAAACACAACTCCTTCCAGCACTCTAGAACCTTGAGGAATCTGCATCAGGTGTGTGTCCCTTCAGTTGAAGGACTCTAACACAACCTTACGTTTATGTTTTGTTTTTTACTAAAATAATCACAAATCTTGTCTTTTCCTGGGACTGTCTACCATAAAGAGCATTCTCAAGCGCCATCCATCTCTTCCCCATCCCCTTACCTGCTCTGCCCACTGGCCAACAGCTTGTCCAAGATGGGCAAAGTTCCAGGTTCCCATCTTTCCCATTTTTGGAAGAAAGAAGCCCCCGTTTCTCTTGAGGTCCTGACTTTCCCATTATTTTCATTATTTTTTTTTTCAGCTTTAGAAAATGAGCAGCTGAGATTGGAACCGTTCTACGTGTTCCCCTGAATCTATACGCGAATGTATGGAAGTTGGGATCTTCCAAGGACGGTCCTTTCCTTGAAGCTGAGACGGCCACAAGCAAGTGAGAGGAGTTTTTGAACTGATGATCTTCAAGACTGTGCTGCTCTTTGGGGGTAGGACCCAGACCCAAGTCAATCAGAAAACAGGCCAAGCTCTGGAGATGTTAAAAAAAACAGATCCTTACAATATCATCTGTGAGGTCTGAAGGCTCATTATAGGGGATTCCGATGTCCCCGTTTAATGAGGAATATTTTGGAGATGAATATGACTGTTTTGGAGATGAAGACAGTCATGGGATTTTAAGGGTGGGGGAACTGGTTTCCCCCGTTCCAAAATGGAACTGTTGAATTGTTGGTTGTCATGGGTTGTTATGGATGATTCGAAAATATGGGTTATGATTGTTCCAAAATGTATAGTTTTGCTTCACCAAATTGTGGAACCATTCTGCTAACATTGATCAAATAGTTCCAAAAACTCTTTGGCAAAAGGAAGGATCATCCCTGGATTTTCAGTAGACTGAAAAGAAGGAGAAGGAGAAGGAGGAGGAGGAGGAGGAGGAGGAGGAGGAGGAAGAAGAAGAAGGAAGAAGAAGAAGGAGGAGGAGGAGGAGGAGGAGGAAGAAGAAGAAGAAGAAGAAGAAGAAGAAGAAGAAGAAGAAGAAGAAGAAGAAGAAGAAGAAGAAAGAGGGAGAAAGAGGAAGGAAGGAAGGAAGGAAGGAAGGAAGGAAGGAAGGAAGGAAGGAAGAAAGAAAGAAAGAAAGAAAGAAAGAAAGAAAGAAAGAAAGAAAGAAAGAAAGAAAGAAAGAAAGCCAACCCAGTTGAAGGGCAGCTACCTAATCTTATCTCCAGAAAACCACACTGACACAGCAGCAATTTTATCCACTCTTCAAACCCAACTTCCATTTCAATTTGGTTCCTTCAAACTGTAGGTCTCCTAAGCATTAAATGGGGACACCGGACAGCCAAGAGAGAAAAATAGTAATTATTTTCAACAAACCAACAAACACAACAGCTCTAAAGCTAACAGAAAGCAATGATTCCACACTGAATCAGAACCAGACCAGAGCCTGGAGGGGTCTTCTAGTCCAGCCCCCTGGGAGGTCTTCTAGTCCAGCCCCCTGCTCGAGCAGGTGATTCTCCATCCTACCTTGTAGGAGTCCAGAATTCCACCCCCAAACTTTGATCGGAGAGACATTTAGCCCGGGGTCCACCCTCTTGAGCTTGGCCATGGCTTTCTGATTGGCTAGGATCACTGCAAGCTGGGTTCACTCAGGTCTAGTCATGCTGTGAAGAAGGGCACCCCAGGAGAAAAACAACAGGACGTTTGCGCCAGGCGGGACCAGCACCCTAGATCAAAAATGCTGTGCTTCAGCTGGCGGGGAGAGAGATCGCGAGCATGTCCCATGCTCCACTTCCCGGGTTTACCTTCTTGGTGCACTGTCTAACCGTATTGATTAATTCCGAAATGACCATGTCCACACACTTCAGGCAGGGCTCTTTAATCTTCTTGACCTGCTTCTTCACAATGGTCTCAAAAGCCATGTCAGGGGTGAAGAGGCCAGTTCTACACATGCGGGGTAGTGGTGGTGGTGGAGGAGGAGGAGGAGAAGAGGGGAAGGGCGGAAGGAGATAGGGCGAGGAGAACGTCACTGCATTGCACCGGGGTGTAAAAGGGGTTGCTGATTACACAGAAAGTCAGCCGGCCTGTGAGGAGGGAAACGTGAAGAGGCCCAGAAGGACAACCCATTGGGTCAACTAGAATTCCCTAAAGTCTCGACAGAAGAGAATATTTAGAGTTTATGATTGAATGAGGGGGCCTCTGAGCTTGGCGGTTTTCTTGCAGATGTTTCATTACCCTAACTAGCTAACATCATCAATGCTGATCATCTTCACCATTACTAGCCCTGATGATGTTACCTAGTTTGGTGATGAAATGGCTACAAGAAAACCACCAAGCTCAGTCTTTCCTTCCTTCTTTCCTTCCTTCCTTCCTTCCTTCCTTCCTTCCTTCCTTCCTTCCTTCCTTCCTTCCTTCCTCCCTCCCTCCCTCCCTCCCTCCCTCCTCTTCTCCATAAATTCCATTTCCTTCTAGCATTGATCATGTTACCTAGTTTGGTGATGAAACGGCTACAGGAAAACTACCAAGCTCGAGAGTAGCTAGGACCCCATAGTCCGTCCTTCCTTCCTTCCTTCCTTCCTTCCTTCCTTCCTTCCTTCCTTCCTTCCTTCCTTAGGACTTAGGAATTAAATTTGCACTAGTGCAAGGGTAGGCAATTCTGGGAGTTGAAGTCCATGAGTCATAAAAGAGCCAAGGTTGCCTACCCCTGCACTAGTGAATGATAAACACAAGACAACACGCTGTTGAATAAGTCCTACTGAATTGTATGGGGGAGGGGGAAATTAATAAAAACTTTACAAAAAAATAAATAAAAATAAAACTCATTTGGGTTCATACATACGCCATCATTAATGGATTGTGAAGCTCAGCTCTGGCCAGTATTCAGAAAAGCAACCTAAAACTCTACATGAGTAAGTGGTCCTGACTTCCCCACGTCCTCTTTGAGACAACATATCTTCCCATCATAGAGAGGAGACTTTATCTCAGGAGAAAGAACATAAGTCATAGCACAACCTTCCCAACTATTTCAAAATCAATGGTCTGGGCAGGTGTTTAGACCACGCTACCATACCTTTGAAGTCTTCTGGCCTGAGAATTCTTAGAGTTATGCTGAGAAGAAGTTAGGAGAGCATAAATACGTGCCTGATGCCGTGGATGTTCTTAATCGCGTAGCTGATCTCTCTTCGAAGTTCCTTCTCATCAAATTCCATCTGCACCAGGAGAAAGAGACACGGATGAAGAACATCAAGAGAGGGACACCCCAAATCACTTTATGGATACAAAGGATCCCCAAGATGGAAGATGAATCAAACTTCTTAAGTCTGGAGATGTGATGGAAGAACATCTCCTAGCATTCTGAGAAACATCACCTCCTTTTTTTATTATTATTTCTTCGTTAGATAGTCCTACAAGAGCACCCTTGTCCTACCAAGCATCTTCCAGACGTTCTTCTTTAATTGCCAAGGGAGATGGCTATTTATTTATTTTTATTTATCATATTCATTTAGCCACCCATCTCTGGAGGGCGTGCAGTAATTTCTGCTGTAACAAAGCTATGTACTTATTGAAAAGCACTATAATGGGATGGTGGAGAAACCATCTTGGCAACTAGAACATTACTATACGGCTGTCCCTAGCACCATCTTCCTTTATATCGACCGATTTCCTCCTGCCCATATCTTTATTAAAACTTTACCTCAGCCTTAAGTGATCTGATACTTTGCTGCAAGATGGATGAGATCTTACAGCTGCTTAAAAGTTGGGGAGTTAACTATTTTGAGAGCATCCGGAAGTGTTCCACCTTGATTTGATTTAAATGTCAATTAAATGTCAATGGTATCCATCAAAACAGAAAACACGGTTGTGTAGCGCTGTCTTGAGTTAGAACCTAGAAGTTCTGGACTTACAGGTCTATGTTTTAGGTCTTCAGACAGAGGCCCTCAACCTGGCAGATATGGATTAAGAAGGAAGTCAAGATATGAGGAAAGAAGGACATCAAGATATGAGGATAAGTGCCTCAACAGTCAACGGTGGCTGAGTTTTACCTTCACAAGCTCAAATGGGAATCGTTCGTGAAAGATGCGATTGATCCGAGCACCACCAGAGAGTTCATAGGTATCGATCTGATCTCCAGAACCTTCGATGCGCTTCTCAAAGTCCACAGCAAACTGCTGAACCATCCTGGAGGTGGAGAGAGAGAGAGAGAGAGATTGTTATGGTGGAAATATCTGCTCTGGCTTCCAAGAACATGGAAGGACCTTCTGCTTTGAGGGCATCATCTGGGCTGCTGGAACTTTTATGGAACATCCTTGATTGTTTGACCTACAAAGTTCCTACTTAGTCCCGTCTTCCCACGTACCGCTACAATGTAGGACTTACTGGAGCAAAGCTTTGGTCTTCCGGGCTGGATCGTCCGGGCGGAAGGTCTTGTATTCTTCTACTTCCTTCTCAATAGACAGCAGCTGACTCTGGAGCTTGTTCCTCAGGCCTGGGAGAGTGTCGCGGATGTGATTGGTCAGTTGCTGCACAACAGAGGCAAAATGGGGATCAAAACTTGAGCCAAATCATATTTTTAATGCTCTTCCTTCTATCGGTAGCTTCACACTTTGGGCAGCTCTTGATCAGCTTAGACCTTTTCGGCAGTGGTTGCTACGCAAACGTCACACTAAGTGAACTCCGTGGTCATTACGTTAGTCACTGTGAGCCCTGGTGGCGCAGTGGTTAGAGTCCAGGACTGCAGACTGCTTCTGCTGACTGCTGGCTGCCAGCAGTTTGGCAGTTTGATCCTGACCGGCTGAAGGTTGACTCAGCCTTCCATCCTTCTGAGGTCAGTAAAATGGGGACCCAGATTGTTGAGGGCAAAGAGGCTGACTCTGTAGACCGCTTGGAGGGGACTATAAAGCACTGTGAAGCGGTATATTAGTCTAAGTGCTATTGCTATCTCTCTGTGTCTTGTTTCTTTCCATCCATCCATCCATCCATCCATCCATCCATCCATCCATCCATCCATCCATCCATCCATCTATCTATCTATCTATCTATCTATCTATCTATCTATCTATCTGCCACGGTATCTGTCATAACTTTGAATAGTTGTAAATTGAGGACAGTGAATCCAGTGGGCAGATTTATATGACTCAGCAGCTCTGCAGGTAAAGTTACCTGATTCAAAATTTTCTGCAGGTAGGGAGTCCCCATACGGTCTGCCATGTGCCGGTACGCCGGGTGGGAGAGGAAGAACTTGCGTTCGGCCGCTAAAGCAGCCTGAATGTCCTTCTTCCCATCGATGTCCTTCTGGCTGCGGTTCACCACCCCGATGTAACCTACGAACGGACACCAGACATCAGAGGACGAACAGCAGATTAAACAGAGGCATAGAATCAAGATCACGCGAGGTATTAGTACCGCTTTATAAAACCCTAGTAAGGCCACACCTGGAATACTGCAGCCAATTTTGGTCACCCTATCACAAAAAAGATGTTGAGACTTTGGAAAAAATTCAGAGAAGAGCAACTAAGATGATCCAAGGCCTGGAGGCTAAAACATACGAAGAATGGCTGCGGGACTTGGGTTTGGCTAATCTAGAGAAAAGAAGGACTGGGGGGACATGATAGCAGTGTTTCAGTATTTGAGGGGCTGCCACAAAGAAGAGGGGGTCACGTTATTCACCAAAGCACCAGAGGACAGGACAAGAAACAATGGTTGGAAACTGAACAAAGGAGAATTAAGAAGAAACTTCCTAACAGTGAGGACATTTAACCAGTGGAACAGCTTGCCTCCAGAAATCGTGGATGCTCCATTACTGGTGGTTTTTAAGAAGAGACTAGACAGTCACTTGTCTGAGATGGTATAGGTTCTCTTGCTTGAGCAAGAGAAGGTCCCTTCCAGCTCTATTCTATTCTAAGAACACCTGGAAATGCTACTTCCAAAATTACAAAACAGAGAAGGGCCTAAGAAATGATGTTGTTATTATCATCATCAAAATATTATTTGTCATAGTCAACCAGATGTTCAGACTGGATTTAGTATTTGTGACTATCTATTGAATCTTTCCCAAAGACCTGGGACAATTGTGGATCTCCCAAAGGTGCTTTTTCAGAGGCAACTGGACTTCCTTGTGTTTTTTTTTCTTTGAAGACATTTCACTTCTCATGCAAGAAGCTTCTTCAGCTCTGACTGGATGGTGGGGAAATGGAAGGATTTATACTCCTTGCAGACTGCTGGTCATTTGCATTCCTTTAGAGAGTTGTTGAGGCCACTTGGAGCTTATAAATCCTTCAATTCCCCCACCATCCTCTTCAAAGAAAAACAAGAAAGTCCAGTTGCCTCTTGAAAAAGCACCTTTGGGACAACCATGACCTGGATGACAGAGAATCTCCAAAGACAGATGTGGATATTTGACGGGATTAAAAGTCTCCACACAGGATGTAAGCTATTCCAAAGAAAGCTGCCTTCTGCAATTGACCGATGGGGATTTTGTCAATGCCGATAGTGCTCAGTTGTTGATCAAATTTATTTGCCGCCCATCTCACTCAAGCTTGAATCTCTCCAGCACTAGTTTTTAGGTGTCATGTTCTCAACACTGCAGTAAAAAGTACAACATCTTTGGGCCACCTCCCAATTTGCATAAATCTAATAAATCAGAATAAATCGGGCGCTAAGGTTATATGAACACTAGCAGCAGGAAGGCTGGGCAGAAAAGAGGAGTATTTGTTACTGGAATTTGAGGCCGCACAATTGTCTGTGTTTCCCCTCTTATTTTCGTTAAACAATGGACAGGATGTCTCGGAAATCATTTCCTTCCTGTTAGGATATATCAAAGAATCAAGACCGAAGCCATCCAGCAAATTCTGCTCCATTCCCTGAGCCTTGATTCTACCAGGCAAAATGAGAACATGGTTTCCTCCCTCAAAAGAAAACCAGGGAATTCCCAGGTCCTTAGAAATGGACAGTATAAAAGAATGAGATATCTAAGAAGAAATGACTTAACTCTCCATCTTTTATACAGAGAGAGAGAGAGAGAGAGAGAGAGAGAGAGAGAGAGAGAGAGAGAGAGAGAGAGAGAGAGAGAGAGAGACATAAGTGGAAAGGAATTTGACAAGCTTGGTGGGGCGAATTCTCCGTGGAATCTGGAGAATCTGATTTTTACAAGCTGGAATTATCATGTTTGGGAGGAAGAACAGAAAAAAAAGGAAGTTTTCAGCCAGATTCAGCAGAGAAAATGAATAGAGGTTGAGGATTCGGGACCAATATTTTAAATCGGATCATCCCAATGAAGGTTTTTTTTCTTTTCTTGATGTTACCCACCTAGATGCTACTGTAATGATAACATGGGCTAAAAAAAACCCCACTTTTTTTTTTACAAGTAGTTCTCAATTTACAACACTTTCTTTAGCGACCATTCAAAGTCACAACGGCATTGAAAATGGGGACTTATGACTGATGTTCACACTTATGATCCTTGTGGCATTCCCGCGGTCACCTGATCAAAGTTCAGATGCTTGGCAACTGACTCATATTTATGACAGTTGCAGGGTCCTAGGGTCCTGTGATCCCCTTCTGTGACCTTTTGGCAAGCAAAGCCAATAGGAGAAGCTAGATTCACTTAACAGACATGTGTCTAACACAGGGGTCTTCCAATCTGGCCCTTTGATGACGTGTGGACTTCCAACTCCCAGAATTGCTCAGCCAGCGTGAGGGAACTAGGACCCTTTGATGACTTGTGGACTTCAATTCCCAGAATTCCTCAGCCAGCGTGAGGGAACTAGGACCCTTTGATGATTGGTGGACTTCAACTCCCAGAATTCCTCAGCCAGGCATTAGAGGGGTTGCATCTAAATCCTTCCTTGAGCCAAAGAGGAACTTCTCTCCATGGAGAGCGATAGCCTTGCTAAGACGTGGGGTCAAGACATTCATGGGGCTCCAAAAGAGAGCAAGGCTCAGGAAAGGAGCTTCTTTACCTCTCCTTAATGGAAGCAGCTTGTTCTCCAGAATGTCCCGCGCATCAGTTCCTTCATCCATCAGGTCCAACTTGGTGATGACTCCAATGGTACGTTGGCCTGTTAGGTCACAAGCAAAGCAGACAACTTGTGAATGACTAAGAAGAGAGCTATGGGTGGTGCGTTGGGTGGAGTTATTCCACCCTAAAGCCTAGACTTTCCCTTTAAGAAGAAAGCCAAGGTCTAGCCTCAGGATTAGCACTATCCCCAGCTAGCAGTGATGATGTTACCTAGTTGGGTCGTGAAATGTCTGCAAGAGAACATCCAAGCTCAGAGAGCACCAAGGATCGTTCAGTTCTCCACCACCACCTCCTCCTCCTCCTCCTCCTCTCCCTTCTAGCACTGATGATGTTACCTAGTTGGGTCGTGAAATGTTTGCAAGAGAATAGAATAGAATAGAATAGAATAGAATAGAATAGAATAGAATAGAATAGAATAAGAAATAATAGAATAGAATAGATTGTAGAATAGAAGACTGTAGAATAGAATAGAATAAGAATAGAATAGAATAGAATAGAATAGAATAGAATAGAATAGAATAGAATAGAATAGAATAGAATAGAATAGAATAGAATAGAAAGCATCCTGTTACCCCTATCCAACCTCTTTTATTCTTATTTCTGGATCCCTTTGTAATAATCCATCGTTCAGGTGGCAAAAAGAAACCGGCTTGCAGAAACCGATAGACCCGAGGCCAAAAACCTAAAGGTAGTCCTCACCTTGAGGGTCAACTTCCTTTGCGATCTTAAGAGCATCCGAGTTGGCCAGATCGCTGTTGGCTGGCGACACGGCAAGGAGAAGGCAGTTTTCTTTGGTGACAAACTGCATCAGCATCTCTCGGATCTGGAATTCAATGTCTGCTGGCTGGTCTCCAACTGGGACTTTGGTCATTCCAGGAAGGTCCACCAGGGTCAGACATAGGACTAAAGAGAGAAGAGAAGGAGATGACAAGACGCAGAAGGACTCATGGATGGACCACTGCGTGAAGCTTGAAAGGAACCTCCAGGAGAAGAACTTCCTGTCAAGGCGGGGATGGGGAATGAAGAATTAAAAATGCCGCACGAAGCCAGCTGTATCATTGGAAGCTTCAATTGTAGGTTCCTTTCCCCGTAAGCTTTGTTTCCACCTCAAAATCCTAGAACTTTCCACCCTCACCCAAAGCAGGGTTGTAGATATGGCAGGACCGTATTATAAATTTGTTGATATAGAGGGTGAGAAGTTAAACAGATAAGATGTGTATTTTGAATATTACATCTTGTGAGGAATGGTGACAGAGGAATTGGAGGTATATTAAAAATTACTAATAGAAGTATTAATGTAAGAGAAAATTGAATCTTATTGTATATAATACAGGTAGGGAAATTTGGAGAGAGGAGTTGCTCGGACATTACCCCTGAATTATATCTGAAGAGGGATGAGAGGGACGAAAGGAGAGGAGAGAGAAAAGAGTAAAGAGTAAAGGAAGAAGAAGGAAGTAGGGAAGAGAAGAAAGGGAGAAAGAAGGTAGAGAAGAAGGAGTGTGGATACAGTGAAAGGGGAAATGGGCGAGCAACACCAAAAGTCATGTGTATGTATTTATTTCATTTTATTAAAAGTATGTTATATATGAATGTAAAAAGAATGTATGTTAACATCTGATAAATATCACGGTATATGTATGGGGGAGAGTTTGGAAAAATAAGAAATAAAAAATTATTTAAAAAAAAATCTTGGGAATGATAAATATTAAACGTTCAATTGAAATGTTAGTGGAAATTAAAACTGGAAAAATTGATTAGGTCATCGATTGTCTAAAAAGATTGTATGCTAAAACAACTAAAACAAAAATACTATCGATATATGTGAAAAAGTTATTTTGTATGTGATTGATAGAATAAAACTTGTTTTAAATCTACAAATAGACAGTATATATATGTGAAGGGAAAAAGAGAGGAAATGTTTAGGGTAGCAATTTGAAATCTGTACTAACGCTAGTTGTATGTAATTGAATTACTACTACCAGCCGCCACGTTGCTTTTCAAAGATGTGAATGTCATATTAGAAAACCAATAAAATTTGAAAAAGCAAAGCGGAGTTATATAGTTCTACTCCTCATTCTTGGCACTCTTTGTGATTTACCGTTAGGAGAATAAACTCTCAGATTGATGGGGACGGAGGAGATCCCCTTGTTAGAGCCGGTGACTCTGTCGGTCTCGGCTTCGATCTCCATACGGATCTCCTCAAAGTCCGTAAATATCTTCCCTTTGCAGTGTAGAAATTCTCCATATTCTAGAGCAGGAAGGAGATGGTTAGAAGATGGTTAGGAGGACAGGCCAGGGAGAAGACCAGAAAAAGTGGCAACTCAAAAAAAAAAAAGGGATCACAGCTCACGGATGGCGAGATCTTAAATCAAGACCTTGATGTTTACTTGGCCAACGTGATTCAGGTTGATTGTCAACTTGGAGAGGGACAACTACTATGTTCTACTCTCTGGAATATCCTCCTTTTTGCCCCCTTTTTTTCTCCTTGTGGACAAAGCTTTGGAGTAACACTCACACCAGATCATACACCCCCCCCCCACAGCTCTGCTTTCCCACCCTGGACCTGAAAAGTTGGTGTCCTGGTGAAGAGGGAGGATCCAAAACAAACTCACATACCAGTTGTGGCGTTAACCAGTTGCAGAACCAAGGGGCGTCGGGTCACAATCCCGGATCCGCGGGGCAAGAAGTCCCTGCAATGAAAAGGAAGAAACAAACTCAGAGACTCTGGCCTTCCGTCCTTTGTTTCCGGATGGCAGCAAAACTCGTCAAGATGCTTCTCAGCCGGGGCTCAGAGCCGGCTGCTCCCACCATCTGCAAAGCTTTCTGGACCCTGCAGTTGGCGGATCTTCTGCACCACCTTTCCAGCAGCCCCACCAAGCGGCTTCTTCTTCCTCCATCGCCCGGGAGTGATCACCAGTCTCCATGGCAACCAGGAGAGAGGATGTTTATGCTAGCTGCCACCACTGCAGTGGCCAGCATGAGAAGAAAGGAAGGAAGGAGGGAGGGATGAAAAGAAAGAAGGAAGAAGCAAGGAGGGATGGAAGGGAGGGAGGAAGGAAGGAAGGAAGGAAGGAAGGAAGGAAGGAAGGAGGGAGGGATGAAAGGAAGGAAGGAAAGAAGCAAGGAGGGATGGAAGGAAGGAAGGAAAGAAGCAAGGAGGGATGGAAGGAAGGAAGGGAAGGAGGAAGGAAGGAAGGATGAAAGGAAGGAAAGAAGCAAGGAGGGATGGAAGGAAGGAAGGGAAGGAGGAAGGAAGGAAGGATGAAAGGAAGGAAGGAAAGAAGCAAGGAGGGATGGAAGGAAGGAAGGAAGGAGGGAGGGATGAAAGGAAAGAAGGAAGAAGCAAGGAGGGATGGAAGGGAGGGAGGAAGGGAGGAAGGAAGAAGGGAGGAATGAAAGGAAGGAAGCAAGGAGAGATGGAAGGGAGGGAGGGAGATAGATAATGGAAGGGAGGGAGGGAGATAATAGAAGGGAGAGAAAGAAGGAAGGGAGGGAAATAGATAGATAATGGAAGGGAGGGAGAGGGGGAGGGAAAGAGATAATGGAAGGAAGAATGGAAAGAAGGGAGATGAAAGAAGGGGAGGGAAGGAAGGAAGGTGAAAAGGAAGGAAAGAAGAAAGGAAGGAAATGAGAGAAGAGAAAGATGGATGGATGGATGGAAGGAAGGGAGGAAGTAAGTGAGAAAAACAGATTGAAATTCAGTAAAATTCAGTAAAAAGGAGGTTCGTTCCCGGAAGGAAGGAAAGAAAGAAAGGAGACAGGTGGCCTTCAACGCCCACAATTCCCCAGCCAGTCATTGCAACACGAAGCACCTTCCGACGCCACTTGTCACAGCTCCCAAAAACAGGGAAGGCTTAACTCGCACGCCAATCAAAGCAGGCCAGACCAAACTCGGTTTATTTCGGACAGAGGCGTGCAGCACAACTGGTGCAGGATGACATTTTGCCGCCAGCCTCTGCAAACACGCAACAGCAGCAGCACCAGCGTCTCCGGACGCATCATCCGGGCGGAGAAGGCAGCTGACCGTGACTCACCATAACGTTGGATGGTCACGAAGGAGACTGGTGGGAGCATTTGGCGCATGACAGCGGGATGAAGAGGAAAAACTGTGGAGGCCAGGGGGAAAAGCCACATCTCAAGGCCTCTGGATGCAGGGCTGGAGTCTCCTGCGTTTCCCAGGGTGACAAACTTCTAACAACCGGATGATCTTAATTGCTGCCGAAAGGGAATCTTGGCGCACGACAGCAGCCTTCCTTGCAGGTGGACAATCTATCAGGGGAATCTGTTGTCTAAGATCTACTTCTTGGCCTCCTTTTGGTCTTCTGGCTTGGTGGCTTTCACTTAGCTAGAGTGGCCCTCTCAACAAGGCCCAGCTTCCATCCAGGCATGGTTGGCAGGCAATCAGAAGGTTATTTGCACACACACACACACACACACACACACACACACACACACACACACACACCTCAGGCGAGAAAGCGGAGTCCCCTTCCATCTTGCAAAATTTTGGAGAAAAAAAAAGATGCTGAAATTCCCACAATCCTTACAGGAACGGTTAAGGGTGCACGTCCTTCATTCTATCCACCTTCCTTTTCATTTATTCTCCCCTCCTGGTTTTTCTTAGGGGAAGGGAAGACATCCAGAGGGACACCCCCCCCCAAAAAAATAAGGGGGGAAAAAGGTGGAAAAATCTGGAAATTCGAAGATCAGTGTTGGTACCCTGTTAACACAGCATTGCCATTTTGCAGGTTAATAAAATAAAATCAAATCAGAACAGCAAAGCAGAATCTCAATCTGTTTTTCTCATTTACTTCCTTCCTTCCTTCCTTCCTTCCTTCCTTCCTTCCTTCCTTCCTTCCTTCCTTCCTTCCTTCCTTCCCTCCCTCCTTCCCTCTTTCCTTCCTTTCCTTCCTTCCTTTTCTCCCATCTTCTTTCTTTCTTTTCCTTCCTTCCTTCCCTCCCATCTTCTTCCTTCCTTCCTTCCTTCCTTCCTTCCTCCCTCTCTCCCTTTCTTAGCTAATATCACTCTGATTTTCTTTAATTTTTGTTCCAAGATCAATGGAACTCCTTGCCACAGGATGTTCCTCTTTAGCCCTTTTTTCAGACACCTGACCGGCCTTAAAACATGCTGGATTTTAGCTAATACGATGCTTCCAATTTCTCTCTCTCTTTTTTATGCATTTATATTTCCTGAACGACGCATTTCATTATAATCTATCTCTTTTATATCTCCTGACGGCTTTCAGCACCATTTTGGAGTGGAAAGCGGGGGGTATGAATGCAATAAGCCAAAGTCAACCCTGGAGAAATTTTGCCAAATTGAGGATTTGGGGTTAACCTGTTCTGAGAGTTCAAAGTGTTAGGATTTACAAACCAACTTTTAAGGTTTAGCATACCTCAACCAGGTTGGGATGGTTCAATCACAATTAACCAGGAATTAACTTAGCCATTCTCTAGATGGGTTCGTTTACATATCTGCATCTACTTTAAAACTAAATAGTGCACAAGAGGTTTTGTAACAGTGGAATTCAGTTCTCTGATTTTGGGTTTAAATCTAGCTTTCCTCCAGCTCTAGATTTACCCTTGTTTTCTAGAAGCAAGAACTTCATGGCAAAGACTCCGTTTCCCATAAGGCATTGCAGCAAGAGAGCTGAAAGACATATAAACAAGAATCTAGGGCAGTGGTTCTCAACCTGTGGGTCGGGACTCCATTTGGGGTTGAACGACCATTTCACGGGGGTCGCCAAACAATGCAGTCTGCCATTTTTTCCCCCCTTTTCCTTAGCTGTGCTACTCCCTTTTATTCTACTAGCTTTTGAAAGCCAATAGAATAGACTCTCTTGAATAGAGTCTAATTCTATTGGCTTTCAAAAGCCAATAGGAATTGCCCAGGCTGTCTCTGCCCTGCTGAGCCCGCCAAAAGTCCCATTCTACAAATGGTGCTGCACCAGTTGAGTAGTCCTCGACTTACGACCGGTTGAGTAGTCCTCGACTTACAACCGGTTGGGGGGGGGTCGCGGCATTAAAAAGGTTGAGAACCACTGATCTAGGGTCTCTCCCTTCATATCTGCATCAGTAAACATCCTCAGCCATAAAACCAGCAGTGGAAATCCTCTGAATTCACACATGAATCAGAGTCGAGCTGGAAGGGACCTTGGAGGTCTTCTAGTCCAACCCCCTACTCAGGTAGGAGACCCTAGACCATTTCAGACAAGTGATTGTCCAGTCTCTTCTTAAAAACTTCCAGTGATGAAGCACCCACACCTTCTGGAGGCAGGTTGTTCCACTGGTTAATTGTCCTCATGGTCAGGAAGTTTCTCCTTCATTCCAGGTTGCTTCTCTCTTTGATTTGTTTCCATCCATTGTTTCTTGTCTTGCCCTCTGGAGCGTTGGAAAATAAATTCATCCCTTCGTCTTTTTGGCGGCCCCTCAAATACTGGATTATTGCTATCACGTCTCCCCTAGTTCTTCTTTTCTCTAGACTGGCCATTCCCAAACCCTGCAACCGTTCTTCGTATGTTTTAGTCTCCAGGCCTTTAATCATCGTAGTTGCTCTTTCTTTGCACTTTGCACATGCACGTATGCACGTGAGGTTTAGCTAAGCCCTGGCTGGTTTTTGTGAATTGCACCAATATTGTCTGCCTGGCCTCAGACCCCCGAAGTCCAGCAGGATAATTTTTTAAAAGGAAAGAAGCAACTTTGGCTGAACCCAACAGGAGTGTTTTGATTCCTTAGAGCAAAAAGCGTTGCATTTTTCTCCAAATGATTGCTTTTCAAAGTGGTTGGGGGGGGGGAATCCCATTACGTCCCCTCTCCAGACTCAATTCTAGCCTTGCCCCAAAACTGGGTTTCTCGTATTAGTAACCCAACTAGGTTGCTTTAAAACATGAATCAATTCTCTCAGCTTCCATTTTACACTTCGGAAAACACAGCCATCCGGAAAATTGACGTCAACCTGGCTTCAGCAAACAAAAAAACAAATTCAATTCCTAACGATGTTCTCCCGATGTATTTAAACACGATTCCCATCTGAGCGATGGGCCTCTTTGGTGCTTCTTGCTGAAATACAGGCAGTCCTTGACTTACAACGTCGCGAAGCGAGGCGCCTCTTCAGTGAGTTTTGCTCACGGCGGTTAAGTGGATCGCTGCAGTTGTTCAATTAGTCACGCGGTCGTTAAGCGAATCCGGCTTTCCCGTTGAGCTTACTCATCCGAAGGGGATCGCGTGACCGCCCCCGGGACGCTGCGAATCGTCATAAATACAAGTCAGTGGCCAAGCGTTTGAATTTTGATCACGTGACCACGGGGATGCTACGACGGTCGTCGGTGTGAAAAAAAAAGCCATTTTTTTCAGTGCTGTTGTAACTTTGAACGGTCACTAAATGAAACATCATAGGTCAAGGACAACCCGGATCTGCCCAGCCTCGGAGAAAGTGCGCGGGCTTCAAAGGGTAAATCAAATCCAAAACGTCCTGCAGGGAAACTGAGGCACCATCAAGTCGAGTGGGGAGCCAAGGGGGGGGTGTCACACACTGCCCACCCACCCCTCCCCTGGCACCCCAAGGCATCCATTCAGACCATGGAAGATAGAATGCCTGTGAGAAAACACTCACGGGACCTGTTACCGTCTTCCCCAAGGAGCACAGGGTCACTTACAGGAGAGCGAGAAAAACAGACTGGAATTCAGTAAAATTGTCACGATAGAATAATCGATTGGCCTGAAAAGAATGGAAATTGGGGAGGAAGGAAGGAGGGAGGGAAGGAAGGAAGGAAGGAAGGAAGGAAGGAAGGAAGGAAGGAAGGAAGGAAGGAGGTCCTTTTTCCAATCTCTCCTTCGTTTCCTCCTTCCTTCCTTCCCTCCCTCCCTCCCATCTTCTTCCTTCCTTCCTTCCTTCCTTCCTTCCTTCCATTTCCTTCCTTCCTTCCCTCCCTCCCTCCATCCCATCTCCTTCCTTCCTTCCTTCCTTCCTTCCTTCCTCCCTCCCTCCCATCTCCCTCCTTCCTTCCTTCCTTTCTTCAATCCATCCATCCATCCATCCATCTATCCATCTATCCATCTTTCCATCCTTCCTTCCATCCTTCCTAATGACATTTTTGACCAGGCCAAAGACCGACTTCCTCACTCACTCCATCCTTCTTTCTCTCTAACCTCTTTGCTGCTGATTACACAACAGCATTTTGTCGTGGGGGTGAAAGTCCTGTTTTCTCTCTGTCAATGAAAAAGCTGCTCGAACAGCAGCCAATTAATCCAGGAAGAGATAAGAAGAAGCAAAAAACAAATTGCTCCCTGCTTCCCCCACAGCCCTGCATGCCAAAAAGCATCTCGGATTTCTGTTGTTTTGGTCCACCGCAAAGGCAGAGCCATCTTGCCTCTGGCCCAAATCTCCAAATCCTGTTTTTAAATCCTTCTGCTCTTACACTAGACTGGATCTGGAATCCTTTACCAAGAACCCCATAATATCATCTCATTTTAAGGGGGAGACAGAAAGAACTGGGCATCAGCAAATATATATATTTCTATCTTCCTTGCTTCCTTCCTCCCATCTCTGTCCCATATCCATCCTTCCTTCCTTCCTTCCTTCCTCCCTCCCATCTCTATCCCATCTTCCTTCCTTCCCTCCCATCTTCTTCCTTCCTTCCTTCCTTCCTTCCTTCCTCCCTCCCATCTCTATCCCATCTTCCTTCCTTCCCTCCCATCTTCTTCCTTCCTTCCTTCCTTCCTTCCTTCCTTCCTTCCCATCTTCTTCTTTCCTCCCTCCCTCCCATCTCTATCCCATCTTCCTTCCTTCCCTCCCATTTCCTTCCTTCCTTCCCTTCCCTTCCCTCCCATCTCCTTCCTTCCTTCCTTCCTTCCTTCCTTCCTTCCTTCCTTCCTTCCTTCCTTCCCATCTTCTTCTTTCCTCCCTCCCTCCCATCTCTATCCCATCTTCCTTCCTTCCCTCCTTCCTTCCTTCCTTCCTTCCTTCCTTCCTTCCTTCCTTCCTTCCTTCCTTCCTTCCTTCCTTCCTTCCTTCCTTTAGAAATCCCGTTTTGATAGATCTATTTCTCTAGGGGGGAATCACTGGGCACTCCCAGAGCCAAGGGGGCCCAGCACACATTCTCTGGGCCTTTGCAGCCAGCCCTCTGCTCAGCCTGGCAGAGAAACCCGCTTCCCTGGAGACGGAGATGAAGGTCACATGAAAAAAAAAAAAACAACATTTACGGTCCGTAATTTTGCTGGCATTTTATGACAAGATGGGGGGTGGGGTGGGGGAGGAAAGGACCCCAACTTGGAGGGCGAGAAGCTCCCTCGTTCTTGTGTTTACATTTTCAAGAGGTTTTTTTTTTTTTGTCCCCGCCTCTTAGCATCCTTCATCTCCATCTGGGGAGGCCTGGCTGGCATCAGCCACTTCATGGCCCAGGTCCAGGTGAGACCTGTCAACAGAGGGGAGGCGGGAGGAGAGAACAGAGAAGGGACCTGCCATTCAGTTCTCTCTCCCCCCCCCCCCCGTTAAGAGATCCATGCTCTTCAATTGCATCATTTTGGCAAATGGAGGGAGGGGGCGACCGGGACAGGTGTCCAGATTGGGAAAACACATTGAGGCCACTGGGAAAGGGGGAGGCCTTTCCCAGAGCTGTTGCTCCTCCTCGCCCCCCCCCCAAAGCAATATTTCGGTGCATCCTTGAGATGACATATTCCTTCTGCCCGGCCTTTGGCGGGAGGATCTGCATGGTAAAGTGACTTTGCACCATCACCAGGTATGGCCCTCTGGCCAAAACATTTCTCTGCCCGACGACCCCCACCCCCCCAGAAAAAGAAGGAGCAGCAGAAAGAAAGAAAGAAAGAAAGAAAGAAAGAAAGAAAGAAAGAAAGAAAGAAAGAAGTAAGGGAGGGAGGGAGAGAGGGAAGGAAGGAAGGAAAGGAAAAAGATAGAGATAGAGATGAGAGAAGGAAGGTATGGGAAATATTCTAGGAAGGAAGGAAGGAAGAAGAGAGAGAAGGAAGAAAGGAAGGAAGGGAGAGAGGGAAGGAAGGAAAGGAAAAAAATAGAGATGAGAGAAGGAAGGAAGATATGGAAAATATTCTGGGAAGGAAGGAAGAAGAGAGAGAAGGAAGAAAAGAAGGAAGGAGAGGAGAGAGGAAGGAAGGAAAGGAAAAAGAGATAGAGATGAGAGAAAGGAAGGACGATATGGAAAATATTCTGGGAAGGAAGGAAGGAAGGAAGGAAGGAAGAAGAGTGAAGGAAGGAAGGAAGGAAGGAAGGAAGGAGAGAGGAAGGAGGGAGGGAAGGAAGGAAGGAAAAAGAGATATAGAAATGAGAAAAGGAAGATATGGAAAATATTCTGAGAAGGAAGGGAGAGAGGGAGCAAAGAAGGAAGGGAGGAAGAAAGGAAGGAAACAGAAACAGACAGAAAAGAGGTTTTCCTGCAGCTACAACGCGGCCAGCTTTCTCCCCCCCCCACCGCTGCAGATAGATAAATAAAGCATTTCGGATTATAACGGATAAATCTCATGCGACAACGTCGTGTAGGCGGGTAAGCGCGGCGGCGGCGGCGCAGCCCGCTGGCTCCCAACAAATGGCTCCTTTCCTGCGTGTTTGTGTGTCCGTGTGCGTGTGTCCGTGCGCGTGCCCGGCAAATCCCTCCGAAGGAGAAGAAGAAGAGGGGTGGGCTGAGGCTGACTGCCCCCCCTGCCCCATTTCCTAGCCTTGTCTCATATATATACATATACATATATACATACATATATACATACATACATACATACATACATACATACATACATACATACATATATATATATATATATATACACACACACATACATACACACACACACACATATATATAATACATGTCTCTATATATTCAATATATGTCTCTCTATATATTTAATATGCATTTTAGCTATTGAAATGGCAGCGGACGGGCTGTCTAGCGGTCGGATCCAGGGGAGAACGTCAGCTGTCTATCAAGCGGTCCTGCCCCCCCTCTCCATTTATTTTTTTGGGGGGGGAAGGCTATAGCTTCCCCCCGAGCGAACCCACCCACCCACCCCCTCTCCCCACGCAAGCATCTGCAATGTGTCAATCGGAAGGAGGGTGGAAAAGATGGAACCCTTGGAGGGTGGGGGGGGGAAGAGGAGAAGAGAGAAAACGGCCCCTCCCCGACGCGTCTCAATGCCCAGCATCCCGGGGTGTGTGTCCGTGTGTGGGTGTGGGTGTGGGGGGGTTATTCGGGGAGGGGGAGGGAAAATCAGCCCTTAAGCCCACCACCACTTAAAAGACGCATTCCCCGAGGGCTTTTCCCCCCCTTCTTCTTTCTCTCTCCCCCCCCCAAAAAACCCCAGAAAGCAATTGCAGAAAGCAATTTCTGCAAGCGGGAGACCCCCACCCACCCCTGCCCAAGCGCCCCCCCCACACGGCTTACCTCCCCACGAAATTCTCCAGCACGGAGCTCTTGCCGGCGCTCTGGCCCCCCACCACGGCGATCTGGGGCAGGTCCAGGTTGGCGTTCTGGCCGATGGCGGAGAAGGCATCCTGCAGGCGGTTGACCAGGGGGATCAGGTCTTCCATGCCCCGGTTCCCCATGACGGCCAGGCGGCGGCGGGGGGGGGTCTTCGGGGGTCTGCGGCTGGCTGGCTCAAGGACAGCCCGGGATGCTCATCCGACGGGGGGGGGAAGAGGCAGATCCGCGCCCCCTTCCCCTTCTGGGAAGAAGCTCGGCGGAGGAAGCCCCCAGCCCCAGCCGGACGCCCGGACCCCCCCAGCCGGCTGCCTCTGCCCGGAGCTCTGCGGCAAGCGGGAAGACAGCCCGGCTGGCAACCTCCGCCGCTACCTGGGTGCTCGCCGGAGCTGGGAGGAAAAAGAGAGAGTGAGAGCGCGTTCCCGCGGCCGCCGCTAGCGGGCAGGCGCGAGCCCGGTCCCGGAGAGCATCATGGGGGTTGTAGTTCTGGGCCAAAGAGTGCTCGCCCTGATTGCCCCCACCCACAGCCCCACCCCTCCACCCACAGCCAGGAAAAGGAGGAGTAGCAGCAGTGGGGGGAGAAAGAAAGGCAGCAAGGGAGGGAGGGAGGGAGGGAGGGAAAGAAAGAAAGAAAGAAAGAAAGAAAGAAAGAAAGAAAGAAAGAAAGAAAGAAAGAAAGAAAGAAAGAAAGGAAGGAAGGAAGGAAGGAAGGAAGGAAGGAAGGAAGGAAGGAAGGAAGGAAGGAAGGAAGGAAGGGAGAAAGGAGGAAGGAGGAAGGGAGAAAGGAGAAAGGAGGGAAGGGAAAAAGGAAGAAAGAAATAAAGGAGGGAGAAAGGAAGGAAAGAAAGAGGGAGAGAAAGAAGGGAGGAAGGAAGGAAGAAAGAAAGAAAAAGAAAAAGAAAGAAAGAGGGAGGGAGAAAGGAAGAAAGAAAGGAGGGAGGGAGGGGAGAAAGGAAGGAAAGGAATAAAGAAGGAAGGAGAGAGGGAAGAGAAGGGAGGAAGGGAGGAAGGAATGGAGGAAGGAGGGAGATGAGAGGGAAGGAAGGAAGAAAGGAGGAATGAAGGAGGGAGAGAGGGAAAGGAAGGAAGGAGGAATGGAGGAAGGAGGAAGGAAGGAAGGAGGGAGGGAAGGAAGGAAGGAAGGAAGAAAAAGAAAGGAAAGGAAAGAAAAAAGACATAGAGATAGAGAGAATCCAGTCAAGCCATTCAGCAAAGCGTCTCCCCCCCACCCTCCTCCCGAGCCAAGTTCACCTCTGTGGCATTGAGACGTGGCAGGATTTGAACTGGCATCTCCCCTGGGTGCGCCCGTCGGCCCGGGTTTGTGGAGGGACAGACAGGTTGGGATTGAGGATGGGGAATCCCCTTGGGGCGGGGGCTTGGTTTAATTGAATTGAATTGAATTGAATTGAATTGAATTCATGTGGCTGTGAGTTAACCCAGGTTCCTGTTTGGTGGCGCAGCTGCATGTGTGAACGCATCCGAGAGGGCGAGAGAGAGGGTAGGGGAAGAGCAGAAACAGTGCTTCTGAATGCAAAAGCCTGGGGAGCCACTCCTAAAGCCCAGTTTAAAAGGCCCAATTAAAAGAAGTGCATTGTCCAAACCAAAACTTCCCTAACTGACAGGGCTGTTGTGAAATTCAAACAAAGTCTGATTCTTTTTTTTTTTTTTGGAAGCAAGAGGGATAAACACCAGTTCTGCAACCGCTGTGGCCTGCTTACTGCTCCTCTTATTTGTGTTCCTGCCTTGAATAATTTGCTTAAATGATCAGAATCTGTGTACTGTAATCCAAGGGACTTGAAACATGTCCAGATAAACAAACAAACAAACAGAAATATGTTAACTTGTATTAATTATATTGGAAAAGGAAGCAAGTTCCTCTGTGTGATTTAGGTCATTTTTACAAAAATGAAACGCCGGTTCCAATTTTTGTTTTTTTTTTCTTCCTTTTGCTTCTCAAGCAAGATCTCATCTGGCGAAGCACATATTTATCCTCGACCTCCATCTTTCCATGCTCCCTTTGGTGGAGGAGGAGAAGAGGAGCAAGAGGAGAGAAGGAGAAGGAAGAAGAGGAGCTGGAGGAGGAGGAGGAGGAGGAGAAAAGAAGGAAGATGAAGATTAAGAGGAAGAAGAAAAGGAGGAGAAAAGAAGAAGGAGGAAGACGAAGAGGAGTAAAGAAGGAGAAGAGGAGGAGAAAAGGAGGAGGAAGACGAAAAGGAGAAAAGAAGGAGAAGAAGGAGAAGGAGAGGCAGAGGAAGGAGGAGAAAAGAAGAAGGAGGAAGACGAAGAGGAGAAAAGAAGAAGAGGAGGAGGAGGAGAAAAGGAGGAAGACGAAGAGGAGAAAAGAAGGAGGAGGAGAAGAAGAGGAGGAGGAGAAAAGAAAGGAAGACAAAGAGGAGAAAAGGAGAAGGAGAAGGAGGAGAAAAGAAGGAGGAAGACGAAGAGGAGAAAAGAAGGAGGAGAAGAAGAGGAGCAGGAGGAGAAAAGAAAGGAAGACAAAGAGGAGAAAAGAAGGAGAAGGAGGAGGAGGAGGAGAAAAGAAGGAAGATGAAGAGGAGAAAAGAAGGAGGAGAAGAAGAGGAGGAGGAGAAAAGGAGGAGGAAGATGAAGAGGAGAAAAGGAGAAGAGGAGGAGGAGGAGAAAAGAAGGAGGAAGATGAAGAGGAGAAAAGAAGGAGGAGGAGGAGAAAAGGAGGAGGAAGACGAAGAGGAGAAAAGGAGAAGAGGAGGAGGAGGAGGAGAAAAGGAGGAGGAAGACGAAGAGGAGAAAAGGAGGAGGAGAAGAAGAGGAAGGAGGAGAAAAGGAGGAGGAGGAGAGGAGGAAAGAGGAGAAGGAGAAGAGGAGGAAGAGGAAGACAAAGAGGAGGAGGAGAAAAGGAAGAGGAGGAAGAGGAAAAAAAGGAGAAGGAAGACAAAGAGGAGGAAAAAAGGAGGCGGAAGAAGAGGACGACGAAGAGGAGGAGGAGGAGAAAAGAAGGAGGAGGAGACTGAGGGGTCCTGGGTGCTTTCTGAGCCTGGCTTCAGGGTGGAAATTATCTTTTTGTTGCCACAGCCCCCTCTCCTCCTAATTGGAGAACTCGGCTCCTCTTACGACGGACGCCCTCGGGAGCCATCTGGCGGGATCCTTCTGTCCTTTTGTGTGCGGTGAAAAAGGACAGCCCAGATGGAGCCCCCCAGCCCCACTGGGGGGGGGGAAACATCATCCGTGGGATGCAGAGCGGGCTGAGATGGCCCCCTCCCCCCTTGTGTTCAGACAGGGCCCGGTTTCAGAGCCTCTAAGCCCTGTGAACGCCAGAAGCGGAGATGTGGTTTGGTAACGTTAGGCCCCGGATCCATGTCTCTTCATCAGGCCGGCTCTAAGAGAATAGTAGATAAAAACAGGATCGCCAGCAGGATCGCCAACGTCCTATACGGATATGGCAGAAGAAGGAGGAGGAGGAGGAGGAGGAGGAGGAGAAGAATGAGGAGAAGAAGAATGAGGAGGAGAGGGAGAAGAAGAAGAAGAAGAAAGGAGAAGGAGGAGGAGGAGAAGAAGAAGAAGAAGAGGAGGAGGAGGAGGAGAAGAAGAAGAATGAGGAGAAGAATGAGGAGAAGGAGAGGGAGAAGAAGAAAGGAGGAGGAGGAGGAGAAGAAGAAGAAGAAGAAGAAGAGGAGGAGGAGGAGGAGGAGGAGTTGGAAGGAACCTTGGAGGTCTTCTAGTCCAACCCCGTCGCGCAGGAGACCCTGTAAGACCAGTGGACTTCCAAAATCATCTTCTTTTCTCCTCCTCCTCCTCCTCCTCCTCTTCTCCTCCTCCTCCACGTCTTCTCCTTCTTCCTCTTCTCCTCTTGTTCTTCTTCTCCTCCTTCTCCTCTTCATCTTCCTCTTCCTTTTCTCCTCCTCTTCACCTCCTCCTCCTGTTCTTCTTCTTCTCCTCCTCTCCTTCTCCTCCTCCTCCCCATGTGTAAAATTTACCCAATAAAACAAGAGAATCCCGTCACCCAACAGTAGGGCCAGCCCTTTCTCTGCCCTACAACGGCCAGGCCCAAGAAAACCCAACATTTTGCCCTAATCGGAGTTTCCTGTTTTGCAGCAGCTTCTCCAAGCAAGGAGGCGAGATCCGTTGACATGGCAACAACTGGGGGGATTTTTAATTTGTTTTAACTTTTTGCGGCAAACCTCTTCTGCTTTCGCTCGGGCTCTGGCGAGTCCAGGTGGAGGGAGGGGGAGGGGAGGAGCTGGTTTGCGTGGGTCCCCCCCCCCCCCGCAGCTCTACCTTCTGCCTAGGTAGATCTTTAAAAGGCACCTGGATGCAGGCTTGTTCCTGTAAGCATCCTCTTGGCAGGGACCAAATCTTCGCTCCCAAGGTGTAAAGAACAGGCAGCTCTTTCGGAACAGAGCCCCCCCCCAAAAGGAACCAATTTATTGAAGAGAAAGAAAGATTAGACTTTATTTAATACTGAACAAATGTAGTCACAACGGCTATGAAATGGTGTCAGATAGACAGACAGACAGATGGATGGATGATGAGATAGATATATGATAGATTAGGCAGATAGGGAGACAGATGATTAGGTAGGCAGGCAGGTCGGTAGTTAGATGATAGATACATAGATTAGATAAGTAGATAGATGGCAGGTATGTAGATATAGAGAGATTAGATAGATAGATAGATAGATAGATAGATAGATAGATAGATAGATAGATAGATAGATAGAATGCGAGAGTAGATAGAATGCGAGAGATAGATTAGATAGAGATTAGATAGACATAGGGAGAGAGATTATAGACATAGAGAGAGATTAGATAGATATAGATAGATAGACATAGAGATTAGATATAAATATAGAGACTAGATAGAGATTGGTAGATTATAGAGAGATTAGATCGATATAGAGAGAGATTACATAGAGATAGACATAGAGATTTTATATATATATATACATAGAGATTATATATATATATATATATATATATATATATATATATTCAATAATGATGGTGAAAATGCGACTCTCTCTCTCTCTCTCTCTCTCTCTCTCTCTATATATATATATATATATATATAGAGAGAGAGAGAGAGAGAGATATTAGAGATTAGATCAATACAGATTAGATATAGACATGGAGATAAAGATAGAGAGATTAGATAGATGGATAGATAGATACAGAGAGATTAGATAGATAGACAGACAGACAGGCAGACAGACATGGAGATACAGAGAGATTTGATAGATAGATAGACATGATAAAGATAGATAGATAGACATGGAGATAAAGATAGATTAGATAGATTAGATAGATAGATAGATAGATAGATAGATAGATAGATAGATAGATAGATAGATAGATAGATAGATAGATATGGAGATAGATAGATAGACAGACAGAAAGTCAGACAGACAGACCATGGAGATAAAGACAGAGAGATTTGATAGATATAGACATGATAAAGATAGATAGATAGACAGACAGACAGACAGAGACATGGAGATAAAGATAGATTTGATAGATAGCTAGATAGACAGACAGACAGACATAGAGATAAAGATAGAGAGATTTGATAGACAGACAGACAGCGGAGCAGGACTTAAGAACCCCCCAACTATTTTTAACATTTCCCAGAGGGTCGGACCCGCCAATCCCTCCGCCCCCGGCTACCCCGACCTCCTCCTCCTTGCACCCCCCCCCCCCAGAGCTGGGCCGGGGGCGGCTGCAAAGGGCGCTTCGGAAGCCCTCGGAGGGCCGCCTCTCCCGCCCCCGCCCAGCCCGAGACGCGGCGGCGGCGGCGGAGCCGGGCACGCGCTCCAACCTTGGCGCCCGCCCCCCAAGCGCGCTCCCGAGCCGGGCGAGCCAGGAAGAAGCGTCTTCCTCCTCCTCCGCCGCCGCCGCCAGCCCAGGCTGGCTTCCCGGTCCACCGCCGCTCGGCGCCTCCCGCCCCAGCCATGTTCGGGCAGCAGCATCTGCTCCGCCTGCAGCATCTCCTCCAGCAGCAGCAGCCGCCGCCCCCGGCGCCCGCCCAGCCGGCGCCCAGCCGGTAAGCCCTGCTGGCCAGGCCGGAGGGGGGGGGGTCCCCGCCCCGCCTGCGCCCCTGCCCCAGCCCACCCCGAGGCTGCCGGCGCCGCGCCCGCCCGCCTCCCCCGGCCGTGCGTAACGGTGCCAAAGGGGGCCCCGGTTGTTGCGCGCGCCCGCGGCCAGGTCTGGGGGTGCGGGCGGGACTTTGGGGAGGGGGGGGATGCTCTGCCGGCGAGCCTCTTGTCAGGGAGACCAGGAATAGGGATAGAGCTGGAAGGGACCTTGGAGGTCTTCTAGTCCAGCCCCCTGCTCAAGCCGAAGGACCTCTACCATGAGAGAGAGATTACTGTAGATGGGTAAACATAGAGATTAGAGACAGAGAAAGAGCGAAAGAGAGAGAGAGAGAGAGAGAGAGCGAAAAAGAGAGAGGAAGAGAAAGAGAGAGGGCGAAAAAGAGAGAGAGGAAGAGAAAGAGAAAGAAAGAGTGAAAGAAAGAAAGAGAGAAAGAAAGAGCGAAAGAGAAAGAGAGCGAGAGAGAAAGAAAGAGAAAGCGAGAGAGCGAAAGAGGAAGAGAAAAAGAAAAAGAGAAAGAAAGAGCGAAAGAGAGAAAGAGCGAGCGAGTGAGAGAAAGAGAAAAAAATGAGAGAGCGCGAAAAAGAGAAAGAGCGAAAGAAAAAGTGAAAGAGAGAAAGCGAGTGAGCGAGAGAACGAAAGAGAGAGAGGAAAAGAAAGAGAGAGAGAGAGAAAGAGAGAGAGAGATGCGCTGTCCAGCCCAGAAGCGTCAGTTGCCTTCCTTAGACCAGTCACGCCTCTCCCAACTTCCTTAAGATGCCTCAACTGCCGTTCCCATACTCCCCAGCCTGCCCCTTCCCTAAGGGGGGGTGTGCCCCATCAGCCAAGCTCTATGATAATAACCCTGGGCTGCCACCTCTGGCACCCCACCGTTAAAAGGAATCCGGTAGACTTTCCCAGGGGGATTACATTTCCCATCACTCCCTCCCCACTCCCAAGATCGCGTAGGAAGCTGGCTGAGGAGGATGGGTGTTTTGGCTTTCTTTTCCACTATCTTGCGCAGACCCACATGAGAACGGGCGGGTCTTTGTGTCCAGGAAGCGCAGAACTTTATATGTTCTCGCCTTGCAGGAGAGGCTGTTTTAGCGGGAGTCCTTGTTTAGCGACCGCCGTGCAAACCGCCCACAACTCGGGCGTTAAGAGGAGCCATCCCATCGGAGGCTCCCACAGAGTCCTCCTATTGTGATGCTGCACGTGTTGCTCAGAAAAACAACAACAACACATTTTCCCTACTCTGGCGTGCCTGCTCCCCAAATCCTTTTTTAAGAAGCAGGCTTAGGAACTCAGCCTTCCCAGATCTGGTTAGGTTTGGGAAAAAAAGGATAAAACAGATGCTGAGGATTTGGGATGGGGGTGTTTGAGAGGAGGATTGCAATTAGGCTTTTAATCTGAGAGGGGTTCAACTTAACCGCGTCTTTTCAGTGGTGGCCCCCAAATTAAAAAAAAAACACCAATCAAGGCCCATCTGCTTTGCAAGGAAGCTGGGAAGCTCGCCAGCCACATCTGGATGCTGTTTTGTTTGTTGATTATGACATTTATCCGCCATCCATCTCCTTCCCAAGCGACTCTGGGCGGCTTGCAGCAGAAAAACAAAACAAAACAAAAACATTTAAAACCATCCAATATAAATAATACCCAATAAAATCACAACCCAAACAGAATAAAATCATCGACGCAAGTTGGATAAAGGAGGAAAGGTGAGCGGGGAGGGGGACAGTTAAGAGATTTTAAACACGGGGTGCTCGGCCTACCACCACAATGGAGCCCAAATTTGCTGCTGTTAAGGCGAAACGTTGCTTTGGTGAGTTTTGCCCCACTTTACGACCGTTGTTAAGTGAATCGTTGCGGTTGCGAAGTTAGTGACGTGGCTGTTTAGTGAATCTGGCTCCCCCCCCATTGATTTTGCTTGTCAGAAGGAGATAATGTGACCGTGGACACTGCAACCGTCGTAAATATGAGTCAGTGGCCAAGCCTCTGAATTTTATTTTATTTTTTTGAGAAAATTTTATTGATTTTCTAATTTTACGTTTAAATATTTGAAAAGCAAGGGGGTGGCTGAGTTGGTCAATAATTCAATAACATACAAATATCTCTAGTAGAGCTCTCAAACTATTCCATTAAATATTTCTTCTCTTTTCCCCTTGGTGTTTGCTGTCTCGTGTTTAAATTAATACGATTCTTATTCTATTGATTAAATAAAAATAACTTTCTTACGTTGATCAATCATGTTTGTTTATACATATCCTAGTTGTTTTAACATTTCAATCTTTTTAGGCAATCAATGTCCTGGTTAGTTTTCCCCAATTTTTCCTCCCAAGCATCTGAATTTTGATCACGTGACCGTGGGAAAGGCTGCCACGGTCATATAGGTCGCTTTTTTCAGCGCCGTTGCAACTTTGAACGGTCGCTAAATGAACTGTTGTGAGTTGTGCCTGTGTTCAGCTCCTTTCTGTTTTCCCCAGAACGGTGACACCATCCCAGCCCCAGATGTTAACTCTGCAGGCGCCCAGCCCGGCATCTCTGCTCAACGCCAACCCCATGCTCCAGCGGGCGCTTCTCCTGCAGCAAATGCAAGGTACAATCTCTTCCACGCTTCCCCATCCCCACTCCCCCTTCCTTCAGCCCCTATCCAGACAGCACCTCGACCCAGGTTTTACGCAGGGAACCCAAGAAGCTTGATTTCAATTTTTTGGGGGGGGGGTATCTTCAATATCCAGTTTTAAGTCTGCAGAGCCAACACAGTCCTGGGCTGCATTGATAGAGGGATAGAATCGAGATCACGTAAAGTTTTAATACCACTTTACAAGGCCTCGGTAAGGCCACACTTGGAATCCTGCATCCGGTTTTGGTCGCCATGATGTAAAAAAGATTGTTGAGACTCCGGAAAGAGTGCAGAGAAGAGCAACAAAGATGATTAGGGGACTGGAGGCTAAAACACACGAAGAACAGTTGGAGGAACTGGATATGCCTTGTCTGATGAAAAGAAGGACTAGGGGTGACAGGATAGCAGTGTTCCTATTTTTTCTATTTTCTATTCTACTCTACTCTATTTTCTATCTTCTGTTCTATTCTACTCTATCTTCTATTTTCTATTCTATTCTATTCTATTCTACTCTATCTTGTAACTTCTATTTTCTATTCTGTATTCTATTCTATTCTACTCTACTCTCTCTTCTACTCTACTCTATACTCATTCTGTTCTATTCTATTCTACTCTGTTCTATTCTATTCTATTCTGCATTCTATTCTATTCTTCTCTATCTTCTGCTCTACTCTACTCATTCTGTTCTATTCTATTCTATTCTACTCTATCTTCTATCTTCTATTTTATTCTATCTTTTATCTTCTATCTTCTATTCTATTCTATTCTATTCTATTCTATTCTATTCTATATCTTCTATATTCTATTCTATTCTATTCTATTCTATTCTATTCTATTCTATTCTATTCTATTCTATTCTATTCTATTCTATTCTATTCTATTCTAATCTTCTATCTTCTATCTTCTATTTTCTATTATGTTCTGTTCTGTTCTATTCTAAACTATGGTGGGTTTGTTCGGTTTTGCCGTAAAGTGAAGCCCATCTTGTAATTTCTAAAATCCTGATTTCTCGCTCAAATTTTCCTTGGCTAACGATCCAGAGGACCTGTGTGATTATCTGGCTCTCGTTTTGGGTTTCTCCCGTGTGTAACGTGCGAGGTTTGCAAGGAGCAAAACAGAACGGTCTTTGAGATCCTTTTTCAGTTCTTGGGGGTTAGGTAAGGTTTCCCCCACCGCGATCCGAACCCTGAGCCTCCTCTGGACACACTGGTGGTTTCCATTTCGAAGTATCTGACGCTGAGACAATTGAGAAGAGAGCCTGTGAGTGAATAATTCAGGAGTTGCTCCACTGAGTAACTCTCAAATGCCTTCTCTGGCTGAAGCAGATGTATTACCTGCTACCCGGGTATCAGCTGTGGCTTGTCTCTGTGGGTTGCAAATGGTCCTCTTAAAAGTGTTTGGATGGAGCTGCAATAAAACGAGAGAAAATGGGTTTATTTTATTTTATCGATTGATCACAATCAGAATTCGTTGCTCCTTGTTCCGGATGCGATCTCCAGTTGTGCCCACCACACTCCAGTTTCCTTGCCAGCCTCCTGGCCTTACCCATTATTACTATTATTATTTATTAGATTTTTTTTTTAATAAGAGATCTGGACGGGGCTGTGGAGGTCATCTAGTCCAGCCCCCCCCCCTGCTCAGGCAGGAAATCCTTGACCATTTCAGACAAATGGCTTTCCAGTCTCTTCTTAAAAACCTCCAGTGATGGAGCCACCCGCAACGTCTAGTGGCAAGCTGTTCCACTGGTTAATTGTTCTCGCTGTCAGGAAATTTCTTTTTAATTCCAAGGTTGCTTCTTTCCTTGGTTAGTTTCCATCCGTTGCTTCTTCTCCGGCCTTCAGGCGCTTCGGAGAATAGTTTGACTCCCTCTTCTTTGGGGCAGCCCCTGAGATACTGGAACACCGCTATCACGTCACACCTAGTCCTTCTTTTCATGATCCCCTCATTATTAATTTTATAAGTAACTCAAGGCAGAGAATACTCTTAATACTCCTTCCTTCCTCCTATTCTCCACGCAGTAAACAAAGTCACCCAGCTGGCTTTCACGCCTAAGGCAGAACTACAATTCACCGTCTCCTGGTTTCTAGGCTGGCACTTGATCCACTGCATCAAACCCACTCTCAGTTCTGTTTCTGATGCCACCCTAAAAAATCTTCTTTTTTTTTTGCATTGTCTTGTCTGGGTTTGGGTAATTCCTGCCCAAGGCGATTGGTCCAAACACACCGAGGCCTCGGTTAACTTCACTCCCCGGGGTCCTGGGTTCGAAACACACCCCGAAATGCTAGCCGTGGCCACCGTTTCCCCCCTCCCTCCCCCATAACAACCCTTCTCTGAATCCCAGATTCAGTGCCCACTTGAGTTTGTTAGCAAAAGGCAGTTGTTCAACAGCGGCTGGAAATTCCTTGTCGTGGCAGGAAAGGTGGGAAGCAGCCAGCCAGCCAGGTTTGGAAGGACCCCAAATCTTGCGCAATGTCTGATGTGCTACTTTTTTTTTTAATTCTTTCTTTCCTGGCTGGTTTTTTTTTTGGGGGGGGGGTCTTGCAGGTAACCTGAGAGGCTTCAATGTGGCCACCGCTCCTGTGCTACAGCAGTTCTTCCCTCAAGCAACTCGGCATTCTCTGCTGGGCCCCCCGCCCGTCTCCCTCAAGCCTCCCCACCTGGGTTTCCCGGCGGCTCTCCCGTTTCACCGCCAGACCCGGCCCTTTCGCAAGGTGAGTTTGCTCTTCCGTCCGGATCGCTTCCTTGCCTTGTTTGAATGCCTCCCCGATTCTCCCAGAGGTTCGCCTGGAGACCCGCCCCGGTGGGAACGACGCCCCTGCGAGGTAGGCAGGGTCGAAAGGGAGCCCTTGGTTTTAGACCACGTTTCCGGTGGGAAACCAACCGTTTTAGCCTCTTGCGATCAAATCGATGGATGGGTGGGTTGATTGAAATGGTCTAGGGTCTAGGGGGTTGGACTAGAAGACCTCCAGGGTCCCTTCCCAGTCTATTGTGATTGATTGATTGATTGATTGATTGATTGATTGAAATGGTCTAGGGTCTCCTGCTTGAGCAGGGGGTTGGACTAGATGACCTCCAGGGTCCCTTCCTGCTCTATTGCGATTGATTGAAATGGTCTAGGCCTAGAGTCTCCGGCTTGAACAGGGGGTTGGACTAGAAGACCTGCAGGATCTCTTCCCGCTTATTGTGATTGATTGATTGATTGATTGATTGAAATGGTCTAGGGTCTCCTGCTTGAGCAGGGGGCTGATCTAGAAGACCTCCAGGGTCCCTTCCAGCTTGATTCTGATTGATGGATTGACTGATTGATTGATTGAAATGGTCTAGGGTCTCCTGCTTGAGCAGGGGGTTGGACTAGATGACCTCCAGGGTCCCTTCCTGTTCTATTGCGATTGATTGAAATAGTCTAGGCCTAGAGTCTCCTGCTTGAACAGGGGGTTGGACTAGAAGACTTCCAGGGTCCCTTCCCACTTATTGTGATTGATTGATATGGTGTAGGGTCTCCTGCTTGAGCAGCGGGCTGGACTAGAAGACCTTCAGGGTCCCTTCCCGCTCTATTCTGATGGTATTGTATCTGCTGGACTAAGGTCAGGGAAAAATTGCACTGAAAACCAGAATGAAACGGAACAGATTTCCACTCCTTCTCGCTGAAAAAGGCAGGGGGTGGTGGTTGAGGAGGTCTCTGCAAGGATGATTAAAATTTCTTTTCTGCTTTCCTGTTCCTGCTTCCTCCTCCTCAGCGGAAAGTTTGGGGGTCCATTTTGTGCCTTTGCGGAGTTCGCCCCCATCCCCTTCGCCTCCCGCTCGCCCAGCTGGAAGAGTTTAGCCCCTTCCCTGGCTTATTATTATTATCCTTCCTCTGCTTTTCTGCGCCCCCCCACCCACCCAGAAGTGACCCGCAAAAGCGATTACTAAAAGCTCCCTTGTCTTTTTTTCTTCTTTTTTAACCCCCCCCCTTTTATCCTGCAGGATTTCTCCAGGGTCTCGGAGAGGAAGCGAGAGGCAGACGGCGCCTCGTCCTCCGTCCAAGGGCGAGGCGAGGAAGGGGCTGCCGCAATGGGAAAGCAGCCCTGCTCTCCCCCTTCAGGTGGGGGCCAGGCCTGTCTTGCGGGGGGGAGGGCTCAAAAAGAGTCGGGGTCTTCAGAGACTAGTTGGGCTGGCCAATGAGATACCGGACGAGGAAGGACATCTTTGGGCCCCAGACGGAGCGGGGAAGAGGCGTTTGCAGATCCCCACGGTGACGCGATCAAAAATTCAGAGGCTCGGCAACTGGCATGTACTTACGACAGTTGCAGTGTCACGTGATTCCCCTTTGGTGGCTCTGTCAAGCAAAGGGGGAGCCAGGTTTGCTTAACAATCCTGTCCCTAACTTAACGACCGGAATGTTTCCCTTAACAACTGTGGCCAAGCAAGGTCGTAAAGTGGGACAAAACCCACCTAGCAACTGTCTGACTTGGCAGTGGAAGCTTTGGGGCTTGTCAGTTGAGGACTCCCTGCAAATCTCTTTTTCTCCTTTACAGAGACCCCCCTGGACTCTTCTCTGGAGGGCGAACCCCCCGCCAAGCTGCCCCGGAGGTAATAATTATTCCTGCAATGATCGTCTGAACCTTCCTCCTTCTAGTTCTGCCTGCCCCTCCCTTTATCCCCTGTTGCTTGTGTGGACACTGAGAGCTTCTGCACCGGAGACAAATTGCTTGTGTGTCCAATCACAGTTGGCCAATAAAAGAATTCTATTCTATTTCTTATTCTATTCTGTTCTGTTCTATTTCTTATTCTATCTTATTCTATTCTGTTTTCTTCTATAGTCTATTTTCTTACATTCTACTCTGTTCTGTTCTATAGTCTATTTCTTATTGTATTCTATTTATTTACATTCTACTCTGTTCTGTTCTATTTCTTAGTCTATTTCTTAGTCTATTTCTTAGTCTATTCTATTTTCTTCTACTCTATTCTATTTTCTTACATTCTACTCTGTTCTGTTCTGTTTCTTAGTCTATTTCTTAGTCTATTCTATTTTCTTATATTCTACTCTGTTGTGTTCTGTTCTGTTCTATTTCGTAGTCTATTCTATTCTATTTTCTTATATTCTACTCTATATTCTATTTTCTTACATTCTACTCTGTTCTGTTCTATTTCTTAGTCTATTTCTTAGTCTATTCTATTTTCTTATATTCTACTCTATTCTATTTTCTTACATTCTACTCTGTTGTGTTGTGTTCTGTTCTAATTCTTAGTCTATTTCTTAGTCTATTCTATTCTATTTTCTTACATTCTACTCTGTTCTATTTCTTAGGCTATTTCTTATTCTATTCTATTTCTATTTCTGTTCTGTTCTGTTCTGTTCTGTTCTATTCTATTCTATTCTATTCTATTCTATTTTCTTATATTCTACTCTACTCTATTCTACTCTTAGTACTATTCTATTTTCTATCCTTATCCTAACCTGTCCTATCCTGTCCTTATCCTATCCTTGTCCCGTCCCATCCTATTCTATCCCATCCTTTATTCTTATTCCTATTATTTTGCTCACCCTGCTAGGGAAGCGGGGATCTCCAGCGCCGAAGAGGCAATTGGATTTCCCCAAACTGGAGATGCTCAGACAGGAGGAAACACCCCCTTCGTGGCAACAGGTATGGATGGACGACGATTGCCGCCTTTTGGGGTCACCTGACCCGCCCTAGGGCAACCTTCCTAGCTGGCTTCCAGCAAGCAAAGCCAATGGGGGGGGGAGGGGGGAAGCTGGAACCGCCTAACTTGTTTAATGACCTATCAAATCAGGCAAGTGGCGACTCCCCTCATGATTGCATCGCTTAGCCACGGAAATTCTGGTTTCAATTGTCGTCGTAAGTTGAGGACTATCCATACAGGGAGTCCTCGACTTAACTACGGTGTAGTGACCGTTCGAAGCGACCACAGCGCTGGAAAAAGGGGACTTATGTCCGTTTTCCACACTTACGACCGTTGGGTGTCCCCAGGGTCACGGGTTCGGAATTCAGACGCTTGGGGCAGCTGACTCATCGTTATGACCATTGCAGCATCCCTGGGGGCTGGGGGGGGTGTGTGTCACGTGATCGCCTTTTGCGACCTTCTGGCAAGCAAAGCCAATGGGGGAGCGAGGTTCGCTTAGCGACCGTTTTACTAACTTAACCCAGTGCAGGGATTCCCTTAACAACGGTGGCCAGAGTAAAATGGAGCAAAACTCACTTGAGCAATGTCTCCCTTAGCGACAGAAAATGTTGGGCTCAGTTGTGGCCATGAGGACTAGAAGATCTACAGCCGGGGTGAAGGTAAAAAAACCGCGAGCATTGACGTGCTAAAAAGGAATAAAGTCAGATACTCTTATGAGTGTTTTTGTGTCCCCCTAGAAAAAGGAACAAATATCTTGGCTGGAGGCAAAAGGCCAAACCTTTGGGGGAAAGCTTTCCTGTGCAGAGCAGTGGCTGGACTTGATGACCTCCAGGGACCTTCCCAGCTTTCGACAGCACTCATGAGAAGGGCTCCCGAAGGCCATGCAGTCTGGCCCCCATTTGGCACAGGGAAGGTTCAATAATAGGCAGCCAAGGAGAGAGTCCGGCTTACCCTTCTTCCATGCTCCGAGGACCCAAGTTCGAATCCAAACCCCAGACTTCCCCCCTCGTCTCTGTTTCCTAGACGCCGATGTTGGGGAAGGGGACGTGAACGCTGAGGAGGCGTCGGAGGAGGGCTTGGAAGAGGGGGAGAAGACTTCAGAGGTGAGCCCAAAAGGGTGGGGGGGAGGGGGAGGGAAGGGAGGGAGGGAGGGAGGAAGAGAGGAAAGGAGGGAAAGAAAAAAGAGAGATAGAGATGAGAGAAGGAAAGAAGATATGGAAAATATTCTGAGAAGAAAGGGAGGGAGGAAAGGAAGGAAGGAAGGAAAAAGAGATGAAGGAAGATATGGAAAATATTCTGAGAAGGGAGGGAAGAAAGGAAGGAAGAAAGGAAGGAAGGAAAAGGAAAAAGATAGAGGTAGATATAAAGAAGGAAGATATGGAAAATATTATGAGAAGGGAGGGAGGATGGAAGGAAGGAAGGAAAAAGATAGAGGTAGATATAAAGAAGGAAGATATGGAAAATATGAGAAGGGAGGGAGGATGGAAGGAAGGGAGGGAAGGAAGGAAGGAAGGAAAAAGATAGAGATGAAGGAAGATATGGAAAATATTCTGAGAAGGGAAGAAAGGAAGAAAGGAAAAGGAAAAAGATAGAGATAGAGATAAAGAAGGAAGATATGGAAAATATTATGAGAAGGGAGGGAGGATGGAAGGAAGGAAGGCCAGCCTTGAGGTCTCCTGCTCCGTCTCTGATGCCCGAGGGGTGCAAAACAGCTGCCCAGATGTGGCTGGACTGACGTGCTGTTCCTTTCCGTTTGGCGAAAGGGCCTGCCAGCCCCAGAGACTTGAGCCGTGCCCCCCTTTCCCCCCCCCATGCCAGGTGGTGAGCAACGCGGGCGCCTTGAAGGTCACCATCCAGCAGAGCAGCGAGAGCCGGGCGATCAGCACCACGCCAGCCCTCAAGCCGGGTCCCCCTCTGCCCCCCCCTCCAGGACCCCCCCTGAAGTTCTACTGCTACATCTGCCGAGCCAACTGCTGCAACCAACAGGTGCAGAGGGGGCGCCCGGACCCCCGGGACCCTTGCGGGGGGGGGTTTGTGGCAGAAGGATCTTGGGGAGGGGTTGAAGAAATAAAAATGCTGGCCCTTGAGAAGGAGGAGGGGGTTTGAAAAGGAAGCGTGTTTATCCCTCAAAGAAAGAAAAACGTGTATGTACATGTACAATGGCCCTTCCTTCCTTCCTTCTTTCCTTCCTTCCTTCCTTCCTTCCTTCCTTCCTTCCTTCCTTCCTTCCTTCCTTCCTTCCTTCCCTCCTTCCCTAATTAACACCTAGGATAATTTCCATTTCTTTCTTTCTTTCTTTCTTTCTTTCTTTCTTTCTTTCTTTCTTTCTTTCTTTCTCTTTCTTTCTTTTCTTCTTTCCTTCACATCTAGGATAATTTCCTTCCTTCCTTCCTTCCTTCCTTCCTTCCTTCCTTCCTTCCTTCCTTCCTTCCTTCCTTCCTTCCTTCCCATTCTATTCTATTCTATTCCATTACATATTTTCTATTCTATTCTATTCTATTCTATTCTATTCTATTCTATTCTATTCTATTCTATTCTATTCTATTCTATTCTATTCTATTCTATTCTATTCCATTCCATTCCATTCCATTCTTCTATGTTATTGTTGTTGTTGTTATTATTATTGTTATTATTATTTGTGTGGCTCCAGAATTTCCAGGCTCACCTGTCGGGGGCACAACACCAGCAGCAGCTTCAGGAAATCCAGCAAAGAAGCAACGTTTGCCTTGTGTCTCTGCTGCCGATGGGAAAGGAGGTGACGGTGCCCGCAGAGACGGACGGGTAGGCATGCAGGCCGAAGCCTTGCAAGTTGGGAACCTCAATGCACACACAACCCATACACACACACACCCCCAATACACGCGCTTACACAGCAGTTAAGGCGCTCTCCCCTGCTCTGAAGCAACAACCAAAATCCTCCCAGTTGCCAAAGAGTTTTCCTTCTGGCGGGAGTTCTTTGCTCCCGCTTTGGGACCAAGGAGTAGCGGATGATGGGAGAGACCTGGGAGGTGTGTAGGGGGGGTGTTGTTTGGGTGGGGGGGGGTGTCTGAGAGGAGGTTGAGAAATCCTTCGGGGTTCTCTGCTTGCAGGGAGAGCCAGCAGCAGCAGCAGCAGCAGCAGCAGCGCTGGTGTAATACCTGCCAGGTGAATTTCAAAGGAGACCTCATCAAGCATCGGAGGACTCAGGAGCACAAGGTAGGTGGCAGCTGGGCTCAGCTGGGTCTTGGGAAACGGCGGGAAATTGTTCAGCTGGCCTAAATATCCCTTTCTCTCTCTCTCTCTCTCTCTCTTTCTTTCTTTCTTTCTTTCTTCCTCTTTCTTTCTTCCTTTTCTTTCTTTCTCTTTCTTTCTCTTTCTTTCCTTCCTTCTATTTCCAATCCTTCCTTCCTTCCTCCTTCCTTCCCTTCTATTCCCTTCCTCCCTCGCTCCCTTCCCTTCTTCCTCTTTCCTTATATTCTCAATCCTCCCTCCCTTCCTTCCTTTCTCTCTCTCCCTCCCTCCCTCTGTTCTACTGTATTCCCGATCTTTCCTTCCCTCCCACCCTCCCATCTGTTCTTCCTTCCTTCCTCCCTCCCTCCCTCTCTTCTACTGTATTCCCAATCCTTCCTTCCTTCCTCCATCCCTCATGTGTTCTTCCTTCCTTCCTCCCTCCCTCATCTGTCCTTCCTTCCTTCCCTCCCTCCCTCCCTTCTCTCATCTGTCCTTCCTTCCTTCCTTCCTTCCTTCCTTCCTTCCTTCCTTCCTTCCTTCCTTCCTTCCTTCCTTCCTTCCTTCTTCCCTCCCTCTCTCCCTCCCTTCTTTCCTTCTCCTTCCAGCTGGCCAAGCGTTTCTTGCGTCCCTTCTGCACCGTCTGCAGCCGTTACTTCAAAACCCCCCGCAAGTTTGTGGAGCACATGAAATCCCTGGAGCACAAGCAGAAGGCTAAAGAGGTCAGAGGAGGAAGAAAGAAAGAAAAAAAAAGGGGAGGGGGCTCGGGTTTTTTTTCCTGGCTCTGGTTGAACTCTTCCTTGCCCTGTCCATCTGTCCGTCCGTCCCTTCGTCTGACTCCGCTTTTTTCCTGCCTGCCCCTGGCCCAGGTGAGTCTGGCCGAGAAAGAGCCGGGTGGTCCAGAGGACTCCGAGGAGCTGATCACGGTGGACGCCGTGGGCTGCTTTGAAGAGCAGGATGACGAAGAGGAAGAGGAAGAGGAGGAAGCTGGGGAGGGGGGCCAGTTGGATCCGGCGGAGGCCGTCGGTCCACAGGTAGGGACTTTTTCAGCAACTCTTCTTAATTTGCAAGGAGGAAATTTATTCATCGGCTTTGTTGAGAGAGGCCAAACTTGGCAACGTTAAGACTGGTGGACTTCAACTCCCAGAATTCCTCAGCCAGCCCTCAGGGCTGGCTGAGGAATTCTGGGAGTTGAAGTCCACCAGTCTTAAAGGTCCCAAGTTTGAGGACCCCTGAGATAGGCCATCATAATAATAAGCTATCCCTGGGGAATACCTAGCATGTTTGCCGATATTTCTTAAAGACTTTTAGCTAGGAATTTCCTCACACAATCACACCCACACCCACCCACCCGTGTCTTGGTGAGCCTTCCCTGCAGCGTAGATCTTCGGAAGAAGGAGGCGCCGCTAAGCCCAGAGCTATAGGAACACATTCCTCTGAACGCTCTTTTTTTGCAAAAAGGCCAAAACAAAATTCTTTATTTTGTGAACTTCGAGGGCAAAAGAGGGAGTTTGCATCCTCACCTGCCTTACTCATTCTCCTAAGGTTGGGCAGAGAGAAACGTCGGTAGAAGACTCGGGAGGAAACGCGGAGTATTGCCCGGACACGGTTTACGGTGAGAGAAGCGAGTTGGCACACCCGGTGTGTCTGTGTGGTTTTTTTTTTTTTGTGTGTGTGTGTTTTCTTTCCTTTTTCTCTTGCTTCTTCATTTCCCTCTGCAGAGGCTCAGCAGGTAAACAAATGGCTCCTGATTTGAAAAGCCCCCATTTGCCCCCCCCCCAAACCCCCTCTCCCCCAGACGTGGGACCACCAGACCGTCCCTCAATTCCTGCCTGCCTTCCTTCTTCCTTTGGGCATACAGATAATCCTCTACTTACGACCCACCAATGAAGCCCAGTTCATTTAGCGACCAAAGTTCACAATTTCACGGCAGCGGCGATTCAGCGAGCAAACGGGGCGAGGGAAGTCGTAAGACGGGGCAAAAAAAAATCCGCCAAACAACTTCCTCACTCAGCCACAGAGCGACGGGCGGCCGAGCGAGCAATTGGTTTGGTGGATTTTTTTTTGCCCTGCTTTACGACTTCCCTCGCCCCGTTTGTTAAGTCCGCCGTTGTTCCATTAAAAGTCTTCCCCGTTGTGAAGTGGATCCGGCTTCCCCCTTCGACTGTTCTCCTGAGAAAGTCACAAAAGGGGGATCGGCGTCACCCTGGGACACCACAAGGGTCCTCAAGGTGGGTCAAGTTGTCAAGCATCCAAATGTAAATCAGGTGACCGTGGGGGAGGGGGATGCTCCAACGGTCATTGTGAAAAATGGTCAGGACGTCACTTTTTTTTCAGTGCTGTTGTAAGTTCGGTCACTACATGTAATAATAATGATGATGATGATGATGATATAATGATAATAATAATATCATCAAACATCCACATCTGCCTATCCCAGGTCCTTGGTAAGGACTCGATAGGTAGACAAAAATGCCAAATGCAGTCTGAACATCTGGCTGACTATGCAATAATTAATAATAATAATAATAATAATAATAATAATACGAAGAAGAAGGAAGAAGAGGAGGAGGAGGAGGAGAAGAAGAAGAAGAAGAAGAAGAAGAAGAAGAAGAAGAAGAAGAAGAAGAAGAAGAAGAAGAAGAAGAAGAAGAAGAAGAAGAAGAAGAAGAAGAAGAAGAAGAAGAAGAAGAAGAAGAAGAAGAAGAAGAAGAAGAAGAAGAAGAAGAAGAAGAAGAAGAAATAGTAGTAGTAGTAGTAGTAGTAGTTGTAAGGGAGCTTGGAGGTCATTTAGTCCAACCCCCTGCTCAGGCAGGAAACCCTACACCATTTCGGACAAATGGCTGTCCATTCTCTTCTTAAAAACTTCCAGTGTTGGAGCATTCACCGCTTCTGGAGGCAGGTTGTTCCACTGGTGAATTGTTCTCACTGTCAGGAAGTTTCTCCTTAGTTCCAGGTTGCTTCTCTCCGTGATTAGTTTCCCTCCGTTGCTTCTTGTCCTGCCTTCAGGCGCTTTGAAGAATAGCTTGACTCCCTCTTCTTTGGGGCAGCCCCTGAGAGATTGGAACACTGCTATCCTGTCCCCCCTCGTCCTTCTCTTCATTAAACGAGACGTACCGAGTTCCAGCAACCGTTATGGTGCCCTTGTTGAGGACTAGCTGTAATAAGGTTCTTGATCCCTCTCTCGTAAGCTGCAGTGCTGGCCTTGTGGTCCACCGGCAAGCTTTACGCTTTCTTGATCCATGCCCTTTCCCCGCCCTTCCCTCCCCTGGCAGGCCTGGATTTCCTGGTGCCCGTGGCGGGATTCCTCTGTCGGCTGTGCCACAAATTCTACTCCAGCGACTCGGCCACGCGGCTCACCCACTGCAAATCCCGGATGCACTTTGAGAACCTGCAGGTCAGTTTTTCTTTCCTTTCTGCCCTTGGGCATTTTTCCGTCACCCGCTCTGCTCATCCCTTAATCCGCTCGCCCACCCCCTCCTGGGGTGGGGTGGGGTGGATTCTAGCAGCTCTCCATCCCCCCTTCTGGTCCAGCTGACCTTCTTCTCTCTCTTGGCCTGGAAATCGGGACCCCGTTCCAGCATTTGGGCACAATTGGGGGCTACCGTTTAAAGTCTTTGACATATGTCCGCTGCCGAGCCCGCAATTTCAGTCCCCAGCCCTGACCATCGTAAGGAGACCACCCAGTGACCGATTTTCCAACCTCGGTTGTGGTTGTCTTTTCTGGAGGTCCATGCTGGTTTGCAGAAGGAAAGATCAATAAATAAATCGTCCATTGTGGTCACCTGCGAACGGACCCCAGGACGAACACTTAAATGGAATAAATAAATAAGCATGGAAATTCAATGAATGAAAATCAACACATGGACAAAATGTAGTTCTGTGGGTCCTGAAGTCAGAACTTTGAATTTGGATCGGAAGTCCCTTTTTTTTTTGGAGGGGGGGCGTCTGTTGTTACATCAAACGGCCGGTGGTTAAGTCAAGGACTTAACTTAATTGGGGTTTTTGCTTCACTTTCCCTTAAAACCAACCCTCAAAAAAGCCATTTCTCAGTGCCTGAAGAGGCTCATGGTAGCGTCTTCATTATTCAGCCACGGGACTTCCTAACCCTTAGATGTGTTGTCCCCATGAGGACTAGCGTGCTGTGTAAAGCTGCGGCGGCCCAGATTGGGTTCCCAATCCAGTTTTTTTTTTTTTAAAAAAAAAAGAAATTCAGTCCTTTTTTCCGCCCGCAGAGGTACAGGGCCTCTCGGCTCCAGGCTACGTCCGGACGTACAGACCCCCCCTCGCAGCTGCCGGACCACCCACCTTCCTCTCCAGCTCAAACTCACCATCCACAAGAGGCCGTGGCCAGACGCCAGAGAATCCCCTCCTCTCCCGAGCCCCCCGAGGTCATCCAGACGTGCTCAGGAGACTATGAAACGGATGATATTTGCGGAGTTCTCGTCATTGACGAGAAACGCGAGCCGTCCTCCCCGGGCAGCGACAGCTCCACGGACCAAGACGACGGGGTGTCAGGCGAGAGGGCCAGACTGCACCCCGCAGGAGAACAGCCCAATCTGGAAATTCAGGGAAAACTGGCTGCAGATTCAGCATCAACGGAGCCGGGCGAGGCCGAGCGGAGCCAAGGTCCGGCCAGCCAGGATGGGGCCCCTTCCACGCCGGCCGAAGGGGAGACAGCCTCCGGCCTCCGGCGTTCAAACCGGCGCAGGGCGAGATGAGAGCGGTGGCTACATTTCTCCTCCGTAGTTTTTCCCGAGAATTCCCTCCCTCCCTTTGCCTTCCACTTTTAGCAAAAGAGAAAGATTCTAGTTTTTTCTTAGTTGGTTGTTTAATAAAAGAATAATAATAAAAAAGGAGAAAAAAAAAACACACCCCGAATAGCTTTTCGGTCTTTAATGCAGGACTTAACCGTCATTTTCCTCCAAAAAAAAAAAAAAGCACTTTGAAAGAAAGAAAGGCAGTCTGAGACATTTTGCACAGCGTTCCGTCGTTTAATCAGTGACCACGATCTAACAACGTTAATGGGAAAAAAACGGTTTCCGGGGTTTATGCCACTGGTTCAGGCAGGAGAGTTCAACCATGGTTAAAGAACAAACATTTGGCAAACATTCCGGGGCAAAACGTAGCCTGTTTGGCCCTGGAATGTTGGTCTTTTCATCAGACCCATCCTGGTTTAATCTAAGCTCGCTCACAGTAATGCTAGAATTCTATCCCGTTATCCAAATAAGAGGGGTTTTGGGGCTGGCCATTACAGGACTTGTCACCACAACAGAGGCCAAAATGTCTCTTGCTAAGAGAGACGGGTTAAGAGAGTTTGACTCATTTTACGACCTGTCTTGCCACAGTTGTCAAGGGAATCTCTGCAGTTGTTAAATTAATAATCTGGTCCTTAAATGAACCTGGATTCCCCCATTGACTTTGTCTAAAGTTTGCAATGGCCCCAGGAGCTGCGACCGTGTCATACATACGAGTCATTTACCCAGCGTCTGAATTGTGATCACGTGACAAGAGGGACGCTGCGACCATCATAAATACGAGTCACTTGCCCAACCTGAATTGTGATCACGTGACAAGAGGGATGCGACCGTCATAAATACGAGTCATTTACCCAGCGTCTGAATTGTGATCACGTGACAAGAGGGACGCTGCGACCATCATAAATACGAGTCACTTGCCCAACATCTGAATTGTGATCACGTGACAAGAGGGATGCTGCGACCGTCATAAATACGAGTCAGTTGCCCAGTGTCTGAATTGTGATCACGTGACAAGAGGGACGCTGTGACCGTCATAAATACGAGTCTGAATTGTGATCACATGACCACAGGGACGCCGTGAACGTCATAAATACGAATCGCCCAGCGTGTGAATTTTGACCACGTCACCCTGGGGATGCAGCAACGGTCGTAAGAGTGACAAGTCAGTTTTCTCACCGCCATTGTTCACTTTCCAGGGTCACGAAATGAAATGATGTGTGTCAAACACTCCCCTACCTCTCCCGATGACAATTCTCACAACCACACTCCTTTATTAAAAGCTCCTTTTTTAGAAACACGAGCAAGATTTACAGCGTGTGGCTCTCTGCAAACTCAACCAGGAGACGCCGATTAAATTTTTCTTAAAAAGCCGGATTTCAGAGAATCCGCCAGCCGTGTGACTCGTCAGCCACAGAGCTGCAGGCTTTTGAAGCCCCAAGTTTGATTTTTGGACCCTTAAGAATCCGGCTGGCCTTTCCCGGAGTCCCCTTCCCGGCCGAGCTGCTGCTGGAACTCCAGACGGGTTTGACGGTTCGATTCCAGCAGTTCCTTCAGCTGAGTGTTGAGGTGGTCGTTTTTCTCCTCCAAATGATCCAGGCAGGAGTTGATTTGGTCCAGCATGAGGTTGATGGCAGCGTATTCTGCTCGGGAGGGGAGAAAAAAAGAAGCAAAAGTCCTTTCAAAAGAGATCCCGGAGGTAATCCACCCTTCTCCCTGTCCATTAACAACTTTTAGTTAATCAAGGAGAATAGGTGTAGCCCAGGGTTGACATGAGGGGTCCTTGGTGCTCTCTGAGCTTGGTGGTTCTCTTGCAGACGTTTCATGACCCAACTAGGGAACATCATCAGTGCTAGAAGGGAGTAGGGTCTGGAAAGGAGGGGGAGGAGGAGGAGGAGGAAGAAGAAGGATGGAGGAGGAGGAGGAGAAGAAGAGGAAGGAAGGAAGGGAAGGAGAAAAAGACTGTAGGTGTCCTTGGTGCTCTCTGAGCTTGGTTGTTCTCTTACCGGTTGGGGGTCGCAGCATAAAAAAGGTTGAGAACCACTGGGCTAAACAAACATACACACACACACACACACACACACACACACATATTCACAGCTTGAAAAGGCAGAGACCCACCTATTATTCATTCACGTATTAATCCCATTTACCCCCTATCTGCCACAAAAACGATAAAGGATCACGCTGTGCAGAGAGATGCTTTCTGGGCCCGGTGCCTTGGATCTGCTGGCTTTCTCCTTGCAGGGATCACCCATAAGATCCCTTTTCAAGCCCCACCACCACCACCACCACCACACACACCCAGCTTGATCCTCAGCGACCCTGGGGGAAGAAAGCAAAGGAAGATCCCCACCCCCAAAGAGAGGGATCCGCTGGGGGTGGGGAGATCTGCCCTTTGCAAAGGGATCTCAAGGTTACCTGCCTCCCCGAAGCCGCCTTCCTCCTGCTCCTCTTCCTCCTCCTGGCCGCCCCGCCCCAGATGGAGCTGCGGTTCCCCGTTCGGTCCGGACATAGCGGCTTGAGTAAGAGCCAGCTTATAAGCCACGCCTCCCACTTTCCCGGATGGAACGCGGAAACAATGTTTCAAAGGGCCAGGCCACGCCCCCCGCTTCCAGGATGGAACGCTGAGAGCAGCTGGCGGCCTAGCCCCGCCCCCTCAGCTAAGCCCCGCCCCTACCCCAGGACTTTCCCAAAGATGCTAAAGCTATTTTTTTTTTAAAAAAATTGTTATTATTTTTAACCAACAAAACAAAGCCAAATATAACACACACACACACACACACACACAGTATATACTCCTCCCTTTTTTAAACAGTAATTACATAACAGTTGTTGTTGTTAATTGCATAACATAACATACATAACAGTAATCTTCCATTATTTACATTTCCCCCCTTATTCTTCTTTAAAATATTTGTCCTTATTGCCCCCTTGTTGCTTATTTACATTTTCCTTCCTTCATATTCTACTTCTTCCTGAGAACAATTCATATTATTATTATTATTAATTCTTATACACACATTTTCACTTTTGACCTTTCCACATTTATTCTCCTCTTATTATTTCTAGTCTCCCACCAGTCGTACCACTTGTTCCATGTTATATAGCACGCTGTGTCTTTCTTTTCTTTTATCTCTTTTGTTAATTTGTCCCTCTCAGCGCAGTCCAGGTATTTTTTCTCATCGCTTCTTCCTCTGATGGCAATATTCTCATTTTTTCCAGCCCTGTGCAATCTGGATGCTAGAGCTACTATTATTATTCAACTATTATAAATTATTTAATATTAATCCATTCTTAAATCAAAGCCGTCAATTTAACATTAAAGGCAGCCACGCCTTAATTTGCATTCATAGTAATCAATGGTTGCAGAATCATCAATAGCCAGAATTTATTGGGGGGCAAGGGGGGGGATTAATTTAGGGAGGAAGCACCCAAGAAACAAAAGATTTATTTACACACACACTTTTTTTATGAATAAAGGTTCATCATTGACCCTTTTTAGAAGGGCGGTGAAATTGACGAGCAATTCACCTCCCGGGAAGGTCAACGCCTGCGCCTTTAAGAAGCCCCGCCCCTTCGTTGCCTTAAAAAGTTTACGGTTCTAAAGCAGGGCCGCCGGTCTGAAAGGAGGCGGGCGGGCGATTTGCATCCAGGGTTGCAGACGGTAGACTCAAACCCCAAAAAATAAAAATAGAAAGGAAAAAAAAAATCATTTTTTAAAAAAAAATCAAAGGGGGGGGGTGTCTCCTCCTTCCAGGCTCTTTGCACAACCCGCTGGCAGGGCAAGCGTCACCCCCTCCTCCACCCCCACCCCCCACGCCAGCTTCGCTCTCCAAGCGGCCGCGTTCCCACGTTCACAAGGCTTGGCACACCCGTGCAAAAGGCGGAAGCGTCGACCTAGCGAAGGGAGGGGGGGCGTATAGGCAGAGCACGCCTTGCATTAGCCCCCCCCCCAAAAAAACAGAAGACTCCAGCAATCGGGCGCCCTTCACGTGAGAATGCAACGCGTGTCCAGGTTGCAATTTCCGCGAGCCGGGCGCTTGCCTGCCTCTAGCAGGAAGGGGTGTGTGGGAAGTGATGGCATTGCTTGCAAAGCTTCCCCCAGGCGCCCGCCCGCCTCCCTCTTTTGCAAAAAGGCGAAGATGGCGTTGGCGCGGCTTGCGTGCAGCGGCTGGGCCGGCCTGGGTCGGAGCGCGTGGCGGCTGCCCCGGGCTGGCTTCTCTTCCTCCTCCGGGAGCCCCGGGCGAGTCTGGAGCTGGCCGCCCCCCAGGGTCTTGCTGGGGGCCGCCTTCGCCTTGGGAGCCGCGCTGGGCACCGGCCGGACGCTGCGCCGCCGCTTCGGAGCCCAGGAACAGCTGGCAGAGCATCAGCGGGACCTGGTAAAGCGAGGAAGAGGAGGGCGGACAGATGTGCACTGGGGGGGGGTGGATGGGTGGGACCGTTGCAATTCTGCAATTGCAACCATTGCAATACCCATCGGGGGGGGATTGCAACTCCCATGGGGCGCAGCGGGGTGGTGCGCCTCCTGGGTCCTTGAGGAGGGAAGGCTGGGTGGGTGGGGCTTCACCTTGCAAGCTTGCAACCTCGTCTCTTCCTACCCCCCCGGTCCCCCCCACCCCCACCCAGCAGCTGCCGCTGGGGGCTTGGCTCCTCAAAATCATTCCAAAGTTCCTTAAATAAATAAATAAATTGCTGGGCCCCTTTAAGCTGCATGTACTTCAACTCCCAGAATTCCCGTGCATGCTGGCGGAGGAATTCTGGGAGTTGAAATCCACCGGGCTAAAAGCTGGTACGGGATGAGAAACCCTGATAGAATGGAAATAGAATGTAATAACTTTATTGTCGCTCTAAATGTACTTTAATGCATTAAAAGGAGATTTGGTTGCAGACAGTTCTCCGAGGGGAACCGCCTCCAATATACATTGCATAAACATGACCAAAATAATAATAATAACGATGATGATGATGATACATATACACACATTTATGAACAGAGAAACAACACAGTCAATAGAATTTGGATGCCAACCTGATCAGAACCTGCAGATTTGCAATCACATTTTGATGCGTGCCAATTGGTGTACATTCAAAGTGACAAAGTTGTTATTATGACTACTTACTACTATTATTATCTTTTATTCATTAGACGTGAACCTCAGTCAACGGAACATTCAAATTGGCTGGCACTAATGGTTGCCACGGGTTGCCATCAGCAGCTGCTATTATTGTTATTGTTGTTGTTATTATTATTATTATTATTATTTTCTTGCCTTTTGCAAAAGCAGAGAATTCCTCAAAGAGTTTTGGGCAGTTTTTTTAGGTTTGAATAGGGAAGAAACTATGTAGGTTGATTTTGTTGTTGTTTTCATTCGGGGAGAATTGCCAGCAAATAGCCCGAAGCTGTGTGTGTTGAATTCCCTTCTAGATCCTGCCAGAGGGCCGTCTCCATCTGACGCTCTACCAGTATAAAACCTGTCCGTTCTGCAGCAAAGTCCGAGCTTTCCTGGATTATCACCAGCTGCCTTATGACATTGTGGAGGTGAACCCGGTCATGCGGAAAGAAATCAAGTTTTCCTCCTACAGGAAAGTCCCCATTCTGGTCATCGATACGGGCAGCACTCTGGTGAGTTTCTCAGCTGGCCGGTCCACGTTTAGGGACTGCTGTGTAAATGTTGTGCTTATTTATTTCACCCGGGTTCATGAATTAAATTTGGCTGTCCTCGATTGACCGGATAAATAGGATTGAGTACTGATTACGGTTTTTATCCCATGTGATAGAGGCAAATGCATTGTGGGGTGGGTTTTTTTTTTGTTTTTTTTTTTTTGCACAAAGGGCTGCCTGGTCCTTAACCAGATTATTTTAACAGAAGAACAGAGTTGGAAGGGATCTGGGAGGTCATCTAGTCCAACCCCCCCCCCCCGCTCAATTATCTGAACAATTGTCCAGTCTCTTCTTAAAAGCCTCCAATGATGGAACACCCACAAATTCTGGAGGAAAGACATCCTCCAGGTAGTCCTCAATTTACGACCACAATAGAGCGTAAAGTGAAACATTTAAGTGAGTTTCTTCAGTCCCGTTGTAACTTTGAACGGACACTAAACTGACTACTTATGTGGATGAATCGTTCTGTTAGGAAATTTCTCCTAAATCCAGATTATCTGGGTGATTTCATGTCAGCAGCTTTTTGTATCCCAAAGATGCTTCCCCCCCCCCCCCAAGACGCCACTGGACTTCCATCTTTTCGTCTGAAGACATTTCGCTTCTTCTCCCAGAAGCTTCTTCAGCTCTGACTGGATGGTGGGGAAATGGAAGGATTGATACGCCTTGCAGACAGGAATATAAATATATAGGAGTATAAATCCTTCCATCCCCCACCATCCAGTCAGAGCTGAAGAAGCTTCTTGGAGGAGAAGCGAAACGTCTTCAGAGAAAAACAAAGAGGTCCAGTGGCCTCGTGAAAAAAAAAGCACCTTTGGATACTGGATGACTGAGAACCTCCAAAGAAATCCAGCTCTTATTACGTTTTTTTCCACATTTCATCAAGCGACCTTTAAACAAATAAAGCCACGGGGGCATTAAAGCATTAAAGCTGAGATAAGCATCGAGAAAGAGGTTTTATATTCTGGTTTATTGATGCTTACCGTTATTTTCTTTTTTTCCAGCAACTGAATGACTCTTCCGTGATCATCAGCGCCATTAAAAGCCACCTTATATCCAGGTAAAAGACAGTTTTTCTGCCTTTTTTTTTTGTTTTGTTTTTAGGGAGAGGAGGGGAAATCCTTCCATTCTTTGCCTCTTATTCTCTTTCCACCAAATGCGGATATGGCTGGGAGGGATTGTCCTGTGTGATGTTTGCAGTATAAAAGTGTTTTAACAGAAAGATGACGCGTTTGTTGGCTATTTCTTGATGGGTTTCAGCACAGTTTTTAATACGATCGGAATGCCGTTTCGTTTTATTTATTTATTTTGTGTATTAGATTTTTATTTATTTTTATTAATTTTTTTTTCTCTCATCAACATATGTTAATTTTTCCAATCAATAAGTTTTCTGGAGTTTGCTAAGCTAATACATGTTCAATTCCTAATCCATTCTTTTCTCTAACCAAGAATAAAATAAATTCCAAATTTGATAGTAGTCTGTATCTTCTTTGTCTTTCAACCTCATAGTTAATCTGTCCATCTCTGCACATGGAATGCCGCTTCGTTTTAATCTTTCGACCGTGATTGGGAAGAGAGAGAAAAAAACCCCCGAGCCTGTGTTGACGGTGATGTAATTCTCTTTTTTTCTAGGAAGAGCTTGGAAGAAATTGCATCGTACTACCCGTCTATAAAAGCCATCAACAGCGAAGGGAAGGAGGTGGCTGACTTTGGGAACAAATATTGGTTGATGCTGAACAACAAGGAGGCCCTCTGCATTTATCCGGTCGAGGAAGTCAGGAAGTGGGTCTTGCTGGAGGACGGGGGGGGGGGAGAGAGGTTTGGGGAGAACCTGTTGCAAAAGTTATGGAGAGAGGGAGAAGCAAAATCTGCAAGAACCATTGCTAACTCTAAACCACCCTGGGAATGGAATGGAATGGAACAGAATATAGAGAGAAT